GGTGGGGTGGCCAGCAGGAGTCCCACAGGCGTCAGACACGGACCTGGCCAAACTTTGCCATGTCGACGGGGTAGGGAAACGAGCTCACCTTCCATCCACTCCCTGTTCTCCTCACTGCTCCTTGACTCACGCGTGCAATTAGATGTCGTTTTGACAAACCACGTGGCAGCCCGCAGCCATCAAGTGCTTGCTGGGACACTCCCAGCGTTTGCTCCCTGAGTGACATCATCCTCAATTTCTTTTCACGAGACACATGCACGGGGAGTGTGCCGTGTTCCTGAGCTGGGGCCAAGACATCATGTGTTGTCTGCAGGGCAGGGAGGAAATCGACTGTTTCTAATGAGCCCTTCGGGCTGAACACGGTGTTGTTATGCGGTGGAGATTTGGCCGGGCGGGGCCGGGGGAAAGAACAAGGTCCTGAAACAAAGAGCCACGTTTCAAAACAGGAGTACTCACACGCGCAACTCTTTACACCGAATGAGCGACTGTCGTCGTCATTTCTCTCCGGATCCTATCCCGGGCACCGCCAAGTGCGCGTTTGAATCCGCCATGCTACCGAGTGGGCCGTTGCGGCACAGGGAGCTGCCGTGCCCCCGAAATAATTTTGTTTCCAAATATTTGAAATCACGTTGCGCATCTGTACATTCTACAAGGCAAGATTATAAAGCCGAGGGCACTGAGCATACACTCCGCAATCGCTTGCATTGAAGCGCTGTGCATTTCTGGGCTCCGAGCGACAAAGAGCCACGTTTCAAAACAGGAGTACTCACACATGCAACTCTTTACACGGAGTGAGCGACTGTGTCGTCATTTCGCTCCGGATCCTATCCCGGGCTCCGCCAAGTGCGTGTTTGGATCCGCCATGCTCCTGAGTGGGCCGTTGCGGCACAGGGAGCTGCCGTGCCCCCGAAATAATTTTGTTTCCAAACATTTGAAATCACGTTGCGCATCTGTAGATTCTACAAAGGCAAGATTATAAAGCCGAGGGCACTGAGCATTTGGTCACCAGGTGACCAACATGAAGGCAGGCTGGATGAAACCACAGCCAGCAGGCGGCTGCCTTAAATGTACACTCCGCAATCGCTTGCATTGAAACGCTGTGCATTTCTGGCCTCCGAGCACAATACCGCGTTTATTTGTGTGCACATAACGTGCGACCTTTATTACAGAATGGCTATTTTTAGCCATCAACACGATTGCTCCTGCTTCAGGTATTATTCTGGCAGGATTTAAGAGGACGCATGAATACCGCATCTATTTCGGCACCTCAGCGCGCATCTTACGCTGGACTTTCAGACCACACTGGGATTATGTTGTCGGCTGTATTTCTGTAAATGGAAATCGGGGACAGATTTATAAAATTGTCATGTAGCCACCTATAACTTGACATGATCACAGTTGGTAATCGATGTGGCCTCTGAACAATTGCCCTTTGAGATGACGCAGATATTTGAAGAGATGTTCTTAGACCAAGCAGTAAATGCTGCAGGCTGCATCAGCAACGGGGTCAAGACGGTTTTTTTTTTTGTTGTTGATGTTGACTGTCGAAGCCCTGCTGAAAGTCACTATTACTGCCCCCTGCTGGCTAAAAGTTTGTAACCACACGTAATACACAATCTGGGGATGACGAATGAATCATCTGAACATGAAGTGTAGTTCAGCAATGTTGTATCTTGATTCACATTTAACGGAACGCCATTGCATTCAGTAAAAAGTCTTGCCAACAGCAAGGTGTAAAAATAACTAACGCTACTGCAAATATTAACAGCAACAATAAAAACATGAATTATTTTTTTACCATTGCTGTTTTCAAACTGCCGTGAGTTTGTCTGCCGGGCAACCGCGTCCGGTTATGTTGCAATGCAAGATCCGTTATTTTGCTTGTAACCACACGTAATACACAATCTGGGGATGACGAATGAATCATCTGAACATGAAGTGTAGTTCAGCAATGTTGTATCTTGATTCACATTTGACGGAACGCCATTGCATTCAGTAAAAAGTATTGCCAACAGCAAGGCGTAAAAATAACTACCGCTACTGCAGATATTAACAGCGACAATTATTTTTGACAATTGCCCATTTTCGAACTGCCATGAGTTTGTCTGCTGCCGGGCAAACGCGTCCGGTTATGTTGCAATGAAAGATCCCTTATTTTGCTTGCGCTTCCAAATTTAGAGTCTGTCCCCCGATGGTCTGGTCTCCATTCTGAAGAGGAGGAGAGCATCCCTGGATGGACTGCCGCCCCCGAGCAACGCAGACAACAAGATGAACGCCAAACGCAAAGTCCGCTTCAGTGAACCGGAAGACGGCATCGATCAAGGTTGGATTCTGAACCGTTTCATTCAAAGAGCAGTGTTTTGAATGATTGAATTGCAGTGGAACGTCAGTGGTTGAACGTAACGAAGCTGTTTTTCCATACTCAATCAACTGGCCTTGACATCACAATAAAAGCCGAGGAAAAAGCAAAACAAACTTGTCACGTGTCTCCAACGCAGACGAGGTGGGCGGAGACTCCTGCTTGATCCTGGTCCTGCTGTGTCTGATTACCGTGGTGATCAGCATAGGCGGGACCGCGCTCTACTGCTCCTTGGTGGACACGTCGTCCAACATTTGCACCGACTTCACTCGCAACGTCGACTTCTTCGTGACAAACGTGCGGAGTTTCTTCCGAGGTTTTGGACACTGGCTGCCTCACGGGACATAAGAGCCATCATGTGAAGTCTGTAGCAGTTTGGCTTTCAAGTCACAGACAGAGGAACATTTTGAGCTTGTAACGACTGGGAATTGTGAGTTTCAATCTCAGAGAAACGGCAAGTTGTAAAATGTTTCGAGAGTCGACTTTTGCTTGTGTGGATCGTTTATCCTAGACCAAATCTTTACCTCAGAAGGGTTCTTGCAACTTTCACTTGAACGTAATTGTTTCCCTCATTTGTATCAGTTTAGTTCTTTGTTCCAGTGACTCTTGTCTGTGTTTGTTTTATGATTGCAGCTATATTTTTTGGATTGATGTTTTGTGTTTTTTAAGAAATTGCTCATGCTTATTTTAAATCCATTTTATTGTTCTGTTTTTATTCTTGAACACAGGGCTGCATATCTGCATCAGGAATATTAGACAAACTTTCTCAGGAAGAAAGTTGTGCAAAATACATCACAATGTATGGAACTTTTAATGTGATAATAATGACACTGGTCAACATTTTTTTAGGTGTTTTTTTCTTGAGAAAATAAGGTTTTTATAATATGTTTAGGAATCTGCCCGGTGGTCGAGTCATAAGCGCGTCGACCTCACAGTGCAGAGGTACCGGGTTCGATAGCAGCTCCGGCCTCCCTGTGGAGTTTGCATGTTCTCCCTGTGCCTGTGTGGGTTTTCTCCGGGTACTCCGGTTTTCTCCCACATTCCAAAAACGTGCATGTAAATTGTCCCAAAGTGATAGTGTTTTCAAGGTTAATCAGTGTTTAACAGCTGACAACACTAACTATCCACTTATTAGGTTGCTCCTTGATGAAATTCAGTCCATTGACTTGCATTACTTATATGGCTGATCTGACACATCCAACATGGCGGACGTGTTCAGACGTGCTCACGTATTCAAGTCGTCTGCACCTCGAAGGCGTGGTCCTTAATGCGTCACGAATATGTTTAAATGGCAGCGCAAATTCGTCAGTGACGAAAACAACGGATAAAGATAACCACGACCCTCTTTGGTTAAAAAGAAAACAAAAAATATTTTTTTAATTGTAAGTAAAGAGCCGACCGGAGTGAGAACCGGAAGTAACGGTACCCGGAGCGACTTTGCACAAGCACACAATGGAGGCAGTGACATCCAGCAGGCCTTACCACATCGTAGTTTTTGGTGCTTCGGGCTTTACCGGGAAGTTCGTTGTTGAAGAAGTAGCCCGTTACGCCGCAGAAAGTCCTCGAGACAACCGTCTAACATGGGCCGTGGCCGGGAGAAGCGTACAGCGTCTGAAGGGGATGTTAAAGCAGGCCGCAGACAGGCTAGGTGGGTATGCATTTAGTCAGAGGTACTTCGCCAAAATTGTACTCAGGGAAGAGTACTGTTACTTTAGTATCATTCATCCATCCATTTTCCGATCCGCTTAATCCTCACAAGTACCGTGGAGTGCGCTTTTCGTCCTGAGGGGTCTCTCAAGTTTAAAAAAATAATCGGTTAATATGGGGTTGAAAATAATGAGTGTTTTGCCATGGGTGTGTATGTCTGCGAATGAAGTTGTCTTTATCTTTCAGCCATGCCCGAGTTGAGCACAGACATTGACATCATTGCAGCAGATGTATCCAGCAAAGAATCTCTGGCCAACATGTGCCAACAGGCTATAGTTATTCTCAACTGTGTTGGTCCAGTAAGTATTGAATGATGCTGTCATTCATGATTGAATCAAAACGAACCATGTTGTCTGCTCATTGTTCCAGTACAGGTTTTATGGCGAGCCGGTGGTCGCCGCATGCGTGGAGAATGGAGCTCACTACATTGACATCTGCGGAGAGCCACAGGTCTAGTTTTGTCTAATGATGTGAATGCTGAGAGGCAACCCGCAAAATGCTACTGTGCCTTAAAAAATGTTTTTGCCTCGGCAGTTCCTGGAGCGCATGCAGCTTGAGTACCACACGAAGGCCTCGGCCACAGGGGTGTACGTAATTGGCAGCTGCGGCTTTGACTCCATACCGGCAGACCTGGGAATTCTCTATACTCAGAGCCACTTTAAAGGTTAGACTTGTTTTTATGACAAGATTGGTACAGTGGATCCTCAGAAGTCTTGTGAGTGCAAAAAGAAGTAAGGCAAGTAACTTTTGGGAAGAATATACAAGTCGCACCCGAGTTGAAGTCGCAGGACCAGCCAAACTATGAAAAAAGATAGATTCAGACTTATAATCTGAAAAATACAGTTGTTGGGATCATTTATGCAAATGTATTCGTCAAGTGATGTGAAACAGACCCATATAGTCAACTTCTCTATTGCATTTTGGAAATCATCGTGTCCTCTCATGATTTTAGGGACGCTGACAGCAGTGGAGAGCTTCCTAACCATAAGCAGTGGGCCTGAGGTAACCAACATCACATTGTCGCTAGTCGTCAAGGAAAGAGATTGCATTTGCTTCAAGCATTTCTTTTATCATTGTTTTCAGTGCCATATGTGATTACAAAGCCAAGTTTGGTTTACACGCTTGTCTAATCCGACCGCACGGCAAGATACGACCATTTTAGGAGATAAGATAAGCGCTGATAGAAATAGATGCAGGACTATGTGCGTTACAGGGGTTTCAACGGTTTCGACAGGCCCAAATAGGTATTTTGCTGTCCGTCCTGGCGGAAGGGGCGCTCCTACGAAGGCTGCGATGTAACGCGCGAAAGCTGAATAGCTCTGCTGAGCATCGTAACCCTTGCAGGGCACATGCGGACACGACGCCACGTGGCGTTCGGCCGTGCACGGCTTCGCCGATAGTGGCGCCCTTCGCCAGCTGAGGAGAAAGTTTGACCACAAGCCGCTACCTGTGGTAGGAACCAAAGTTCGCCCGAGGTAAGGTGATAAAGGACCACTGGATTTAGAGCTTAAGTGCACTCAACCTGTACATGACGTGCTGTATTTTTGAATGCACAGACATGATCACGCCAAATAAATGAGTGGTCTGATTTGGCGCGTACGTGTGTGCGCGTCCAGAGGTTTTGTGTTTTTTAGCAGAGAGATCATGCAGTACGCCATTCCTTTTATGGGTTCGGACCCCTCTGTGGTCAAGAGAACACAGCGTTTCCTTTACCAGGAGAAATCTCGCTCACCCGTAAGTATTGGCGTCAATTCTAATCCACCCGATTGGGGGGCTGTAACTTGCAAACATTTTGAATGCTATTTCTGTTTATATGATCTAGTTTTGTCTGTGTTGGTGTATATCGAACCATGGGGGGGGGACAGTGAATCTTTCCCGTCATATTGTTCTTGATGCCTGCTGAGCCCGAAGGACGGAAACTACAAGGTTTCCTTCTAATCATCAATTTGGCGCAAATAAGGAGCACATCATGACACATGTTGCGCTATCGCCAGGAAACGCTTTAGAGGACACTATCTGTCCAGCATCAGCCTATATGCTGAATGACAATTTATTTTATTTAGTTTTTGACAGCCGGGAATTATTTTCATGATGCAATCACAAGTACGTATCTATTGTTCCAGATTTATTGTCCATGTTTTTGCAGTGGGCGGCACGGTGTGTAAACATCACCGACGGGCATATTCCGATGATGTCAGACTTGCACTGATGAGGCCACTGCATTGTTGGATCTCCAGACTTTTATCCACGTTTGGAAGAGGCCTCATTCTGACGTCCGTTTTTGTTTTTACTTTCTTCCAATCCCCCACCACCCTCCCTTGACAGATCCAGTATTATGCATATGTTGGGGTCGGAGGTCTCTGCTCAGTTGCCAAGCTCTTTTGTGGTGGACTGCTCTTCGGGATCATGGTCAGATTCAGCCTGGGCAGAAAACTTCTCACCATGGTACAAACATCATTCCTTCAAGGCCTTTTCACCCAGCAGTGCAGTTGGATTGCTTTCACTTTCCATTGTCAACATTTGTGAACGTTACTTTATGTTGACGTTTGGTGTCTTGTCTTTTCCAAAGTTCCCAAGGTTTTTTTCCTTTGGCTTGTTCAGTAAGGCTGGTCCAACAATTAAACAGGTAAGAATTGAATATATCCATACTTCGATTATATCAAAGTTTATCGGAGTGGCGATACCGATCTGTGTGCTTACACCATCGAGGTCGGTTGAAAAAATGAAAGCTAGCAAAGAAGAAGTCAAAAGTTTTAAAGCGGCTTCTAAACGGATCAAGTTGAGTTGCTTTCAGTCCATCTCTCATGCTGAGCTCTCACTTACCAGATTGAAGACACCTGCTTCAACATGACATTTTTCGGCGAGGGCTACGCCGAGGCTGCAGACCCCTCCCAGGGGCCGCCCAACGCCAAGATCTGCACTGAGGTCATGGGAGCAGGTAAGGCGTTTGGTGCTCCTGTGGTCTTCCGTTGCCGCCGGTTGTGAACGATAGAAACGAAATGGGGATGTCGTGAATACTTTCCAACTGTGGGCATGTGAAGCCCTTTGAGGCTGTTTGTGATGAAGAGCGAGAGAAATGAATGTGACTTGAGTTGACTTGACGAAAGTAGCACATAACCCACCCAGTATGCCGACATTGAATTTTTACTGAAAACGAAATTTTCTTGTTTTTGTTTTGTTTGTAGCTATTTCAAACTCAAACTAAAGCTGATTGGATACACATCCGATGTTTCAACAGTCAACATTGTTTTAATTAATAATCTTTTTAAAATTCTTTTAAATTAGAGCCTGGCTACGTGGCCACGGTGATTGCAATGGTACAGGCAGCAGTAACATTGCTGAAAGAAAAGCACTGCCTTCCCATGAGGTCAGTAATGTCTCCTTCACATTAAAAAAAAAAAAAAAGAGATAATGTTCTTTCCAATCTTTGGCATCTCTCCACTCAACAGGGGAGGAGTATACACACCAGGAAGCGCCTTCTACAATACCAGTCTAATTGACCGCCTTCATAATCGCGGCTTCAAGTTCTCTGTGAGAACCTACCAAGAAGCAACTAAAGCCTAAGCCCTCAATTGTTTCATCCACTGTGCCTCCTCTTGATACAGGATTTTTTTTTCTTAAAAAACAAAAAAAAAATAAACAATCCTCATTGTCTGTGGTTGTACTTCACCTTCCTTGCCACGAGGTGTCAGTATTTCCCCTTGTTCCCCCTTGATGAACAATGACCCTCCACATCCTGGCATGACAGTAGAGGTGATTTCATGCCCCTGAGGATGCGCAGGCCGTATGCGGAGTGACAGCGGGTCACCGTGGAAGCTCTCTGGAGCTTTTCGATTTTTTTACAAGCGCTCGACTGAAGCCGCAGTCATGAGAAGGAAATATTTGGCAGCCCCCGCCTCCTCCCCCGTTCTCTTTCTCAGGTTGTGAGTCATCATGTGAGCCATCGCACTGTCACATCTGCTTCCCACCCCCCCGGCTGTCATCACCACGCCAATGAACACTGTCCAAACAGTGGTTGTGAGAACGGAACGTGTCAGTCGTGTCGTTCCTGCGTCACGGCGCTTGTGTGATTAGGAGCTGCGGTGTTGGTGCGAGGCTGAGAGAGAGTGCGCTGGTTCCCCAGGGTGGAGCAGAGAGCAGCCCCCGCCCTCATCGCCTGCCACGGTCCGCCATTGAGCCCATGCTACTATTCTTGCGATTTCTTCCTCTCTCTTTGGAAAAATCGCTATCCTCCCTCATCAGCCAGCGCTCTCGCAATCACATCTCACTTATTGCCCTCAATCCCATTAAGTGCAGTGTGTTGCAGAATATGAAACCCCGACACCCCCTGATAAGGAATTTAGCGGGATGGCAATATCGCTTAGAAGGAGGTCATCACTTGAGAATCAAGTTGCGGCCCATCCTGTAAAATATGGAATGGACCTTTAAATGGGAATTAAATGTCGCGTCCCGTATCGCTTCAATACGGGCCGCCGTTTGTCCCGTATTTTCCTCAGTGTCGGATGCTTCTGTCACACACAACAGTAATGAACAAAATAAAAGATGGCGACGTGGTACAGTCGAAACTCGTTACGAAGTACCTGGAGGGACATCACAAATCTGTACGTTATCACGGTAGTTCGTTGTCAGCTTTTTCGACAAAATGGCCGCCAACGACGCCGTATAATACACTATGAACATTTAGAGATGTAAAAACATGGACATGTAATACAGTGTAAACACATATTTTATGCTTGTGTGGTTTGAGTGTTTGATTTCGAGCCTAAAAGATGACAATTGTTGATGTGCCAACAGTGATGAACCTGACTGCATGAGCTCCACTTTTTTTTTCTTTTAAATTGAACTAGCGAAACTAATTCCATTCTACATGACGAGCACAGTTTACTTGTTTCCAACATCGATTCGAGATAGCGCCATTTGTCCATTGAGGGTATGGATGAGAGCAATCAAGACAAAGGCAGGCGCAACCAGGGTTGATTACTTTTAATCAATTCAGCTAGCTACAAAATGTCCACCACTTTTACACACTGACAAGATACAGAGAGGGAGTCTTTGAATAGAACATGCGTTGAGGACATCAATCTCACAGTTGACTCTATTGTGTCATTCAGGTTTGGGTAGTTCATCACCTTACTCTAACGAAGGGACTTTTTGGAGATTTGGTATGCATAGCTCTAAAGTACAGAAGCAACAAAAACCCTTGATGTTTTTTTCTTTTTCTTTTCAGTGTATAGTTATCGTCAACATAGTGTTTAGTTTTTCATTTTTTTGGTGCCAATAACAAACCACACGGGGAGAATAAACTTACAGATACAGTCTTCTTATAAAAGTAAGGTCTCTCAGAAATATGCGCCTTTGCTTTACATTGCAAACGTTTATTTATTTACTCAGAGCATCCAAAACCTATGTTACAGTACACAACCAGTCCTCCTCGTTCAGCACTGAATCGACATCCTCATCACGGAACTGCATAATCGTTTAGAAAACAGGTCTTTTTTTTCTCATTTTTTTTGTTTTTGTTTTTTTTTGTTTTTTGCAATACGACCACACAAATCTTTGTTTCGTCATTTCCATTCCATTCCATTACATCCACTTTTTTTTTTGTAATTCCTTTTGCATTATTTTACAACAAGATGGTCACAGTCAGTAAATATATCAAGACAGAAAGAGTGGCACTATTGCAAACTCGCAGGGAAGAATGGAACGATCAACTGTGTCCTAATACTGAGCATGCGTTTTGTCAAGTCGCTACTGCTGTGTTTTTTTTCTTGTTTTTTTTTTTTAGTTTGTTTGTTTTTTTTATACATACTTTTTCAGACAGGTTTTATTTAGAAGTCTAAACTCTACCATTTGTCATGCAGAGAACGCACAATTCACATCACTTGGAATGCAAATGCCGAATACAGCTACAGAGAATCGAGTTGCACATTGTCGAAACAGCAAAACTCAGTATGATTGCAACGGTGGAAAACGGGACCGGCGACTCGCTTTTCGGATTGGAAGTGCTGTTTGCGATCTTCTTCAACTCGGCGGATCATGACTCCGTGCCCTGCCCCCCCCCCCCTTTTTTTTTTTTTTTTGCTGTGGCAAAACACTAAAACGAGGAGTGTGACGGGAGCCTACACCAAACCGTTTTACGGAGCCAATGCCGAGATACTGAAAAAGAAGGAAGAATCAAAACAAACGGCTCGTATCGCATTCCGGGTATACGCTTGCCGTCCATAGCCGTCTACTTCTATCCGTGTGTGTGCGTCTTGAACAAGAGAATAAAAACCAGCGCGCCATGAACTCAGCAATATATAGAAAGAACCTTTGGAGAGAAAGATGCACGGCGTATCAGAAATCATCATCATTTTTACGAGGACCATCATCTTGAAAAAGCTCGACAGACGACACGCAGAACGACATATACAATGGGGAGGGGAGGTGATATGTGCATGTGTGCAAACCTAAGAAGGTCAAGATCATGATGAAAGCACGTCGGCGTCTTGACGACGTGCGGCGCCGCGCACCGCAACGGCTGGCGCTTGCCGGGGCCGGCCGGCGGGCTGTTTAGCCACTGCCCAGCATCTTTGTGGCCCTCTGGTTGGCCTCATCGATCCTGGTCTTGTTGGAATCGGCCTGCAAAGAACAAAACCATCAGGTCAAATTCAGTATCGGGCCGATTGTTGGATGTCTTTTGAAGATGATCCTGTTGAGTGGCAAGAATGATTCCTCTGCGTGTGGTCAGAGGCAAGCGGTTGTTCCAATTGTTTGCCGAGCATATCTTGACAAGAATTTGCAACCACAATCGAGCTAGCGGATCAGCTAACGGCGTAGCTTCTGCTCTTTCTTTTTCCTCAAGGTAAAATGTTCCAGTTCGGGATGCGTCTGCCCTCCGCTGCCTCCTGACCTCCAGTCTTCATCTTCCAAGGTATTTTGAAGCATTTGATGATTGCAACTCTTTGGTGTAAGGTGTTCTTTTCCAACGTGACCGTGGCCCAGTGCACAAATCAAAATCCATAAAGGCGGGCTCGTTTGGGTCAATCTAAACCCAACACCTTCAGGTAAGACATGTTCACTTCATGTAAGTGTATTTTTGTCCGTGTAAGGGAATTCTTAGTCTTTACTGATTCTAAGGTAGCATTAAAAAAAAAATCAGCTTGTTTGTTTGTGTCCACATAGTCTGATAGCAATTAAGAGTGTTTTGAAATGAATCTTTCCAGGCAAAGCGTGCCTCCATTTCATTTGCCAAGATTAGACGATTCTGGCTAATCCTGATGATGTACCCAAACGTGTTTTCCTCCTTCTTTACCTTGTCCATGATCCTGTCGATCTGGCGATTCTGAGTGTCGATCTCGTTGCCCATGTCCACGGCCATGTGGCGCAGGTTTCCGATAATACCTCCCACCTGCTCCAGGTTCTCGTCCATCTCGTTTTCCCGGGCATCGTCTGTTACCCTGAGCACAAAAAGGCAAGTCCGAATCGCACACGCGCGTGAATATCGTTTGTGTCCCATATGCTGCAATGAGCTTCACAGTAACCCTTGTGATCATTTCCTCTGATTGCGATGCGGAGTGTAACGCAACAACAAGATTATCGAACCAATCCTGGCCTCGCTGTCGTACGACAACCTCCTCTTTGGCTCCCGACAAAAAAACCAAAATAAAACACTAGAACAGTGTTTAACATAACAGAAAAGTCTGGATCCCCTTTGGACGAGTTGCCCTCACCTGCGAATGAAACCTCCACTGATGGCCATCTGTTCACGCTCATCCACAACACGGGCCGGCTGACTGGCGACCACCCCGTCCTGGTTGTTCCCCCAGGCCTTGCTGGCCCCGCTCTTCATCCTGGTCGGCGAAGACGACGGAGAAGAACACTTACGCAACGTTCGAAGGGAGCAGCGCCATCATTTCCCTCAGCCAGGCCGGCTCGCGGTCAAATGGATCAACGCGTGTATGTAAATTGCTGTCAGGCTACTTTGTTTCATGCATGGAGCGCATTACACGGAGGAGTCAGAGGGGAGGACTAGACTAAGTCAAGCAAAGCATAGCAGACGTGGACTGGTGCAAGTTTTCCGCTTACGCGGCGGCAATGTGAGTGACGCTATAGCTTCCAAGTGCTTCACGTGCCGCCTGCGGTGTTGTGCTACGTGGCGTGCATTTTAACAGCAATAACCTGTTGCGACTTCCCCCACTGGCATCCGCCATGTTTAGTGCAATAAAAAACAATCACTCCCCAAGTCCCACAGTTGATTGTCCAAACGTGACAGTTAACAGAGAGAAGACGAGCTCCTGGGAGACAAACCACAGAGAGTGTACAGGACTGTCACATCATTAGAGGGGGTGGGGGGCATGGGGGGGGGTGTATACGACAGCAATGTGGAGAACAAGCTCGGAAAAACGACAAAATGAAAAAATAAATAAATAAATAAACGAAGGAGGTTGACAGAGTAACACACGACGTTCCTCGTCCTATTCCTGGAGCTCACATCCCAGTACCCCCCCCCCCACCCCCTCCCCGTATCAGTCACCTTTGGAAAAGCTCCATCCCGAATGACCAGCGAGGCGCGATAACGATATCAACGCTCACCCAGCGTCTGTCTGAACAGGAAAGGCGGACTGACAAATAGAGCTGTGCTAACAAGATGTGCCACCGGAGTGCTTTTTGCCGCACCGCATTTCGTAAACCGCACTCATGATTTGGACGCCTCTGCATACCGTATCACTTATGCATATTCATTGTTTTGGCCTCAGTGCGGGGTGATAGCGGATGCAAAAGTCTTGTTCCAGTACGTGCGATGGCGAACGCTCGGCCTCCTACTTGCGTTTTATTAATAGAACTGGACCGAGGGAAAGGCTTTCACTTGGCGGCCCGTCCCCGCTGACGCGCTCTTTCTTTTTCTACATGGTGTTTCCCATCTGTCCGCTTTGCTTCATCTCATTTTATTCCGAAATGCGAAGGCCTCTTCTCCGCCGTAGAGACGGCCGGCGCTTAATCAGCTTGCCGGCAATTGGGCCAAGGTGATTGGATTTTGCACCGCGGCAAAATAAAACTCCATCCATGAAAATGAGCCGGCCACCAATCAACGTCGATCACCGATGGCATTGTCAAAACGCAGCAGCAGCAGCAGAATGCCGCGCTCTTGACAGACCAAACACAAATCGACAGACGTTAGCGCCGCTTTTGGTGTCTGGCATCGATCTGCAATTACTTTGTGCTCTTCCTTGTCATCCGCCTCCCTCTGGTGGCTTTCATGTATTTGACATCACGTGACGCTTAGGATGGCATACCGATGCCTTTTGGGTTACAGACTGCCCCCCCCCCGCCCCCCTCCCCGTTGTAAGATGATTGACCATGATAAGCACTTGTTCATTTTATGAACTCAAGCACTGTGACCCGCCTCTCAATGGAATTCATCAACCATCAGAGCCATCAGTTCTTTTCGGAACTCAATTATTCAATCATTAGCTGACTTGAACAGTTCGGGCAATTCTAGGAACAGGTTGACCAACATTTTTTTTCCCCCGTTCCAGCATGAGTGTGCCTCAGCGCACAAAGCAAGCCCCATCAAGACACGGTCGGATGAATTTGGCATGAATGAACTTTTGAACCTCCACTCCAACCGCAGCAAACACCTTTGGGGCCAACAGAAAAGGAGCTTGGCCCTCATGACCAGCGTCCCGAATCTCACAAATGTTATGATGGTTGAATGAACAATCGTTTCCCACAGACAATCTCCAAAATCCTGGAAACTCTTTCTAGTCGAGTGGAAGAAAATATAGCTGCCAAGTTTGTGTCAAGCCGGCCTCACAGTGGCGGAGGTCCAGGATTCAATTCCGGTTCCGGCCTTCCCGTGTGGAGTTTGCATGTTCTCCCTGTGCCTGCGCGGGTTTTCTCCGGGTACTCCGGTTTTCTCCCGCATTGCAAAAACATGCGTGGCAGGTTCATGGCTCACTCTAAATTGTCCCTAGGTGTGACTGTGAGCACTGATGGTTGCCCGTCTACATGAGCCCTGCAATTGGCCGGCGACCAGTCCAGGGTGTACCCCGCTTACTGCCCGAAGACGGCTGGGATAGGCTCTGGCACGCCCGTGACCCTTGTGAGGAGAAGCGGATTAGAAGTTGGACGGATGGATGTTTCGGTAAGTATAAAAATCAGGTATGACGATATTTTTTTGTTCTTATTCGTTGCTGTGTCCCTTTTCAAAGCAGTGACTTCCCATAAATGTACATACATGTCCATCATCATCATCATCATCATCATACTGTACATGAATGTCATGATGGGCATCATAACCTTCGCATCGTCACGTGCAGCAATGCTAGTGTGAGTTGCATTGCCATGCATGCATGAGCATTCCAAGGATCATGCTCGCAAGTCATTCCATGTTGCGGCAGGTGGGGTGGCGGTGGGGGGGGTGTCTCCTGCAAATAGGTGATCAGCTAGTGAGTGCGGGAGTGCTGCGGCAGTGGTAGATATCATGCAGATGAGGAGAAGCTTCACACAGCCAAACGCTGTCCTGGGCATTTTGGTCTCAATACTTTGAAATGATCTGAGTAGCACAATTCTTTCATCCTGCTCTTACGGTTCGACCGGTGTTGTCTCCCACTTTTCTCACTCTCATCATCATCTACAACCCCCCGATGATGGCAGCGCTTTTATAAGATTGCACTTGGTGGTTCAGGTGTCCGAAATGTATTGGCCGATACGAATGCGTTCATACGAGCGTGTCGGTGACGGTCTTTGAAAGCGCGTCACGGCCTCCCGCATGTACGGACGTGGAAGGCACGGATGCCGTTTTGCAGCCGGAGCGCAGCGGACTATTCGCCGAAGGCCGTAATCATGCCAGTGGTTTCAGTGTTTCTACTGGAGAAATTGAAATTTTGGTAAAGGCAGGCAGGCGGGCGGGCAGGCAGGCAAGCAGCACCTACTTGTTACATGGACAGGAGCAAAGACCACAGAATTTCCCTAGATCGTTCAAATTCTTTTCTGCATCCTTCATGTCCTTATTGATTTGGTCCATTCCCTCCTCGATGCGCTCCAGTTGTTCTGATTAAACGCAAGTCATTTATCCCCCACAGAACGAAGCACGAGAGAGAGAGAGAGAGAGAGAGAGAGAGAGAGAGAGAGAGGACAAAGGAGAGAAGACAATAACTTCAGACACTCACTGTGACGAAAGAAAGTAGGAACGAAATAAATTAAGAAACAAATAAATTTAAAAAAAAGGAAAAAAAAGAGGAAAAACTGGACGCCACCACATATGTGACAACCTTTGAGGCACGTTGTCAGTACCTACTTGTTACATGGACATATGAAAAGCCCACAGCATTTTCCTAAATCTTTTAAATTTTTCTCGGCTTCCTTCATGTCTTGGTTGATATGGTTCATGCCATCTTCGACACGATCGAGTTGCTCTGGTCAGGACAAAAGGGATGACAGTGGTGGAATGAATGTCATTGGCTGATTGACACAAATAGGACTTATGATGAGCAGCAACCGAGTCAGCTGAGTCAATGCGTGCGGACGCTGTGAGCGACTTGATCGTCTTTCAAAAAAAGTGGACGAATTTTAAAGTGGCCCTTACGTTTTTTTTTTTTGTCTGCGGAACCTCCAACAAAAAAGTTTGGACACCCCCTGGTCGAGACAGATGTTTTGTCGGAGTAGCGCCTAAGCTAACCATCAAGGCAAATTCATTGAAAGGAATACCCGAGGATAAAAATACTCTGCGCTGACGTGCCTGCTGACAGGATTATGTTCAAAGTCAATCTACGAGTCCATTTTGAGCAAAATCCTGGCGCGGATGGGACCATGTGGAGAAAGAAAAACGTTTCATCGAGCAATCGATCCAGGGAAATGTGCAGATCCACAACCAAACAACCTGATAGATAAATCCTCATCGTGAGTCCACGTCGTTAGTTTGTAATGCGTATCACTGAATGTCGCTGTTAGCAGGGGGGGGGGGGGGGGGGGGGGGGGGGGGTCACGGAAGGGAGAACCTTCACTAAAAATCTCAATGTTGATGTCTGCTGTTGTCAATGGCGACTTTGGTCACGCATATGCAGAAAGCCTTTATGGATTTCAAGGCCTCGCCCACGCTGATGTGGATGACGCTTTGGCGACTGGTCATAGCAAAGACCTTTCGGCCCGACTCGCGTTTCGAGAGAGCATGTGAATTATGGAGCACGCTCGTCAATTAACTGTCTTGAGATTTGTAAAATCCCCGGTTGGCACGCAGTGCAATCGTTTTCGTTCCCGCTTGTCCTCGATCGGGTCACGGGTGTGCTGGAGCCTCTCCCCCGGTTGACGTTGTTCAATGATTCGGCATTTTGATGCGCGCGCAAAGCACGTTGCGCTCGTGAAAGAGTGTTAACGGCCGGCGTAAATGAAAGCTGGCCAATTCGGCTGCCGTAAAAGCTATTGGAGTCCCGTGGGTGCATGCTGACACTAACGGAGGGTCACAGGACCGATCGGCGCATTCGCGCCCCTGTCCGTGCAATTAACGCTCCGTCACGGGACGCACAAAATGTTTGATGAGCCTTTCAGGGAAGCGCCGGTGCCGGAGCTCCTTCGACTTGCTTCCAAAGGGAATCAGCAGAGGTTGCTTTCTAAAATTAGCGGCATATATTGTGACCAGGGATTTTACCAATCTGTGAATGGATTGACAGAAAAGTGGCGGAACATTTTGTCATTACCAGCTAAATCGATCGTTTCGCTTCAACTGTCCCTTCTTTCAATTTTGGAATGTCAATTGATCCAAAACCACACAGAATTTTGTATTTGTGTTAGATTGGAAAGCAAATTTATCGGCGATCCTGTTTAAAGTCATCCTTCCACCAAATAATTTCATTTTAGCCAAGAAAGGGGTCATATTGGGGTTTTTTTTTTTTGGGTTGTTTTTTTTTGTCACTGTGGTGGTTGGTTCAAATGAACGTGTTTCAGTGTTTTGGCACTTTCAAGATGTCCAGCTGCTGTCTACGTTGGCTAATGGAAAGAAATAAAAGCTCCCGGCAAATAGCAACGAAAACATGAAAAGAAAATTGCTCAAAAGAAAAGAAGCCGGCGGTCATTACATTTCCCTCGTGCAAACAAAGGTCAAAGAAACAAACAAGCCCTTGCAAAAATAACAAGGAGAAATTGGATTAGTTTCAATCTACATTTCAAGACATCAAGCAAGCATATACGAAACAATTAAACAATACTTTACTGCCTAGGAATAACACTTTCACTTGAGGTGTTCGTCGTAAGTGACGACGGTTACAGAATTTGGCCATTTTTATTCTAACATTGTGTTGTAACATTTCATCGCCATCTGCCCGTTTGCACACTTACCTCCTTGTTCATCCAACATGACCAAAGTCCTAATGCCGGCATCTTTGCTCTACTCCCCAAGGGCAAGCAGGTAACAAGGTAGTGTAAGAAAAAAAAAAAAAAGAAGTCAGTAATGAGGCGATATCGCCCCGGAGAGTGAGTAGCACCTGAAAGATATTTGCTGCCATAAGCTATTCCCACATTCCATTTTCACCTCGCTGCTTCTCGCCATTTTTCTTTGCTACCTTTTCGTGTGCGCGAAACACAGCTGTCCATTTTTGTCATTATTTTGAATTTTGACGTTCCGGGGGGGGGGGTGTACGCCTTTCAGACATCCCATTAACGTAGAAATCTAAAAAGCGCCTCACAGTTCAGAGATTGTGAGTTCAAATCTGGGCTCTGGCCTTCCTTTGTGGAGTTTGCATGTTCTCCCTGTCGTCGTCGTCATCATCATCATCATCATCATCACCTTCCACCTCGACCCAAATTATTTTCTTCCACATCATCATTCAGGTCATATTGATTGCGAGGAGGAAAGGTCTTTAGGCAGGAAACGTAAAAAAAAACAAAACGCTCCCTGGAGGATAACAACACAACCAGCCTGCGGAAACGCTGCAAGATCCCTGTCAATGGATCTCCATGGAAACATCCATTTTCTAGTCCATTTGGAGCCTATCCCAGCTGTCTTCGGGCACACCCTGAACCGGTTGCCAGACAATCGCAGGGCACACATAGACCAACAACCATTCGGGTTCACGCTCACACCTACGGACAATTTGGAGTCTTCCATTAGCCTGCCGTGCATGTTTTTGGAATGCGGGAGGAACCCGGAGTACCCGTAGAAAAGCTACGCAGCCACGGGGGGAGAACATGCAAACTCCACACAGGAAGGCCATAGCCGGAATCGAACCCTGCACCTCTGCACTGTGAGTGGGCTTACCGCACTGCCTCCATGGAAACCGACGACGTAGATACTCATACCGGACCCCGACAGCATCAGCTATTTTCGTCTTCACTACACAAATGGGAAGTTTCCTTGTCGCATTAAGACATTTTCTTCGCCCTTTCGAAAGGCTTCCTCCATCCTTGTCGATCCGGACTCCTCCATGACATGCATCCCAACTGCCCGGCCGGCACATGCATCCATCAATAAAGCTATTAGGTGACTAATGGGCTGTGCTGGCTTAGTGCGTGCTGCAAGGGAGGATACTGAAACCTGATTGTCCGCAGTCCTTCCAAATCCCGCAACGTGCGGCGCACCTGGCTCGGCCCGATAGGCATAAATCGGATTATACTGCGTCGGTCTCTACACGCACGAGTCATGTAAGATGCATGAACAACGCCCCGTCCCCAGCTGCTTTCTCAGCTGTTTGCGACCAAAGCCACATTGACGTTTGCGACATGGGAAGGGAGCAATAAGGGGAAGGCTGGCCTATCAGTGATTCTGTAATTCAAAGTAGTAGAAATGCGCCTCTCGGGCGAACAAGGAGTAATCGAGATCCCAAGCAGGCAAAGAAATGACTCGGAGAGTCTTGCTCATTTGAAGATCTGGCGGAGAAATCACTGCATGTTTATATTGTGCTTGACCAAGTTCGAATGGTATTGCGCTGCAACATAATGACCCCGAATGCGACTAATTGTAATAATCGTGCGAATGACGAATGATGCGGCTGGTTCCGAAATTATTTTCAGGGTTCATATGTCAGAGGCCGGGAAGAAATCGACGGACGATCGATAGGACCTTGAGCTCCGCATCAGCAGTTCTTTCCTTCCCAATGACAGCCCTAAATGCTCTTGATGCCTCCTGTTTAATCCTTCACTTGATTCATCCTCATCTGCCTGAGGTGTAACTCGTTGTCCTTTCCCCCTCATTTGTCACAGTGTCACTGACTGGCCATGAATGCTGCATGAGCAAATAAATGTATGCGCATCTGCTTATTTTTCATAATGAGCAAACAATTAAAAGACAATTTGAGGATTTGCCGCCCCGAGCTGCGGGATGGTCGCTCAAGCATAGACACTTTGCTGTGGGGAAAATAATCAACCTGCTGCGTACAACCGTCGAATCCAAACAAAACAAAATTCAATGAAGCGGGTTTTACCTCTTCCACCAGCTGCAGCATGCGACGGGTGCTTTCCAGCGACTGTGGGAGGGGAAAATCAGATGACAGTTAGTGTCAAATGGGAGAATGCGGGACACATGACGCGGGACTCTAGTTTCGTAGACGCCACGTGCGGAAATGCCGGCGTATCCTGATTTTCGTGCAGGCGCAAGGCCCGCCTTGCGACTGTTTGGGAATATTTAATGAGGGTGCAGCTTCCGTTATCGGTTGCTATACCGGCAAAGAGCAACGACAATCCTCTGGTCACGCACGAATCACTTCTAGCGCGACCTCACAGAGATGTCTCCATGCCGGATGGAGGTGCCCCACAACGGCGCAAACCTCCCTTTTTAAATACACTGGCTTGTGTGCCTGCGAAATTCCCAGCCAGCACCTGGTCTAGCAAACCTCTGCGCGGATTTAAAAATGCGAGTCATGCTGGAATCGCGCCGGTCGTGAAAATAGAGCCTGGAATGTTATTCACAAACGAAAAAGTTATGAAATGAAATCAGATGGACAGACTGAGATGTACAGTAATGAAGCATTTTGGTTACCTCTTCATCTGTGGAAGCGAGGCAAAATATGAATTCATCTTTCAGTATGACGACAATACAATCCAGCGAGTACAAACGCAACAACAACCTGATTGCTGTTTTTGATCTTATTTGAAGTGCAGCTAATTTCTGACACCACATGCTCAAGTTCCTAAGACGTGTGAAGCAGCGCGGCCTCTCGGCGGGGACACTCGGTGACATCTCCGCTGTCTTACAAAGACACAGCGTCACCCCGCCGTGCTCACAGTTCGTCCTGTTGATCTTTGCAGTGGCAACATCAAGAAATAAGGGGAATGACAAAGTAAGTTGTTTTTTTTTCCTTCCCGAAATGTGAACTTTCCGTTTCCTCTGCGTGTGCGAAAGCAACTCAAGCTGAAAGTGGTCATGGTAACGATCCCACCATTTTGCGCGCGCCCTGTTCTTGAGAATGTTCAGCGTTCTGCCCATGTTTGTCAGCGTGCGTCATATGTGAAAGTGGGGGAGTGGTGACCTGCTCCGGGCCTTCACTGAGGCTTTTCTTGCTGTGGTGAAACAAACACCCACATTTAGACACTCACAAGGTCAAGCGCATATGGGGAAGATCTGATTCATGAACAGGAAAACGATTCCTCATCTCTGTCTTGCATGGGAAAGAGAAACAATACGTCCAGGCAAGGCAGGAGGAACGTGATGTGACCATTTTGTGTTCCATTTTGATGCTACGCTGGCTTTTGGTGAGGAAGATATGATATGGCATTGCCATGGCAATGCTGGGTGACCTACTTTTGAGGTTAGTGACTTTGGAGGACCCTTGCTTGTGTTTTGATGGTGTTAAAATCTTTATTATGGTGACCAGACGACCCGGTTTAACCGGGACAGTCCTGGTTTTGAGCTTTGTGTTCTGAGTCCCAGTGGATTTTGCCAGCCCCATTATTTTTTTACGTGGGTCCCATCCCATCCCAATGTCCCGTTTTGTTTTGAACAGTTAAATGCCAGCGCTCGGTCTCACCTCATCGGCGAGTTGGTCGGCACGTTGCTGCATGTCCGACAGCTCGTTGCGCATGTCCGCATCATCTGCCATGGCTGTTGGGTGTGGGGGGTGGAGAGCGTCTCCAACGGGGAAGAAAAGATCCTAAAGGGAATCCGAGAAGAGCTGAAAGACAGACAACATTGCATGGTGAGCAAGTGACAGATTACGCCTTTTCCCAAAACGTACGTCTAATGAGGGACTTTACCCAGATCTGTCCATTCATGCATTTTGATGGCACCGATCCCAGCTGACTGAGTGAAAAGCGGACGACAGCCGAAACTAGTTGCCAAGACACGCAGAGGCCGACTATCATTCACACTCACATTTCACTGTCACTGAGTGGGAACTGAACCCCAGCGTGGAATAAAACTTCAATTTGGATGAACACTTAGTCCTACTACGTCACTGTTTTTTTTTTTTTTTAAATGTTGGTAGCTACGCCGATACAGACCAGGCGTCCAAACAAGACAGTTGCCTTATAGTTGCAATTAAGTAGGCTAAGCTCTCTGCACTTCTCTAGAATCATGAAATGGGTTGATTACCACTGCACTTACCGTCTTTGATTCGTTTGTATTTATAGCGTACAAGTGTTTTTCGGCCACATTGACTTCGGTTGATGACAGACTACAACTTCTGCACAAAAAAGACCCACTGTACTCTACTCTTTCCATTCTACTGTCAGGGATGTTCACGTCTTATGAGCGCTTATACATTCATGTGTACAAACACGTTGATATCACAACATAGCAGGGCGTGACTCATTGAAGGCCCCACAGCGCAGAATCCATCCATCGGTTTTGCATTTGAGTCACATTTCAATGGCAAGACAGACATCCAACCTTCCTTTACAGCACAGACCGTCAGACCAATTCTGAAACCCGGCGGATGGCTTGTACGTTGGAGGTAAAACAATTGAAAATGTAATTTCAGCTCTCCCCGTGCCCTAATTTCTTTGCCTCCCTCTCGCCTTTCCTCTCGCACTGCTGCATCGCTCGCCAACAGCAGCCATGTTGGCTTACATAAACCTCAAAAGTGGACGGCGCACCGCAGCGCTTGGCATCGAAATCAAGGACGATTTACAGCAGACTTTGCAGCCACTTGCCGAGGGGAGACGGATTATCGCCTCCCTCCTGCTTTATGTAACCAAATTCGAGCAATTAATTTTTAACAGGCCACATTGACCTTTTTACTTTATGGCTCAACTAATAGCGTCACATTTTGCACCCTCGACTTCCTCAGCGTTCCTTTCCTGGCACTGGAACTTCTCTAGGGCGGATGTTCACGTATATATTGGCGTTATTTGTACCTTTTGAATTTTACAAACAATAATAATACTCTCCGGAATCAATTTAATGCAATTCAATTCAATTACATTCATTTGTTGCAGCAGCGCCACACTTTTTTTTTTCTTTATGAAGCTCGTTTGTTCATCATTCACACACATGATGGGACAAGAGGAGGGAGACATCTAAAAAAAGGCTGGTCAGGGACCACCGTCATGGGAGACAAACGTGGAGCAAATCAACCAACATTTGTGTGTGTGTGCGGTGTGCTCAAACAAAAGGTGACGCACAGTTCTTCTGTTTGAGTCATCGCCCTCCTTCACGCGGTACAAATTACGCAAATCCATGGCAGTGAATGGTAACCAAGGTGACCCCGAATCAACAGTGAGGCAATAAAGTGCGAGACACTTAAAAGAAAGGAACCATGCTCATTTTTATTAAAATACATAACCGAGCTGTAAACACACGTATCTGTTGAAGCATCTTTGTGTGTGTGCGTGCGTGCGTGTGTGTGTGTGCGTGTGTGTGTGTGTGCTTGTGTACACGCGCACATCACTATCGCCTCAAAGAGGATGTCAGGGTGTGGTTTGCAAATTAGCGACGGGATTGAATCTATGGCACCGAAGAAGGGCCAATAAAAGTGATTTATGGCATGTGCGGTGGAGACCTCGCGCTTTAAGGCAATTATTGGATTAAGGCTGAGCACTCCGGCCGTCCTTACGTAGAGTTTGAAATAATGACTTAAGCAACACAGGAATCCCTCGCTTTAACATGGCTCATCTTTCACGGCTTCTCTCTTTGACTGATTTTTTTTCGTGCTCGGCCTCATCTTTGTGCAGCTTGACACATTTTCTACATGTCAAAACCCACAATGTTGACGAAACGTTCTGGACAGTCAGTTGTTTGAAAAAGCTCACGTACATATTTTTAATGATTGGGCCTGAAAAATGTCATCTTTGGTTTCTTTCAATACAATATTATCAGAAAACCCACATTGTTTTACTTCTAGGAGTTGTTGGTGTTGTGACATTGATTGAGCTTTTTCCGAAGATTTTTCAGATGTCCTACACTGTGAGCGGGCCTTGAATGCACCTGGAGTCAGCAGAGCGCAGTTTGGTTGGCGTGGCGAGTCTGCATAGTTACAGATTGCCTGCATTCTCCCACGTTTGTTGTCGTGCGCAAAGGCCAAGGGGTGAGTTGAATCATTTATAATGTTCGTGTCAAGTGATGGCCGTGCACATGACCGCACCGTATGCTCGTGAGTGATGTCGCGTCTATCAACGCTCGTTAGCATATTCGGGTAATATGCTAACGAACGCGATGAAACGTGCGAATGTAAATTGTTTGTATTGTGCAATTGTTTGATTACTTCATGTAGTGGAATGCAAGGTCTGCACTAGTGTGAACTAATGCATGTATAATAGATGATGTGTGCTATATTATTCTTTATCTGTGTTGACCACAATAAATCAACCTGTCAAATGCAATACAAGCTTGTGTTCTCTAACCGGAACGCCCACATCCGTGCACTTTGCCGCTCTAAAATAGAATCAGCTGGAGACCTCGTACTCCCTGTATGACCCTCTCCGTTGTAAGTATTGTATCCGTAATAATTGTAAAAAAATAAAGATGACTACTGAACGGATTTCACTTAACACGGGTTCTTTTAGGAGCGTAACCCCCACGATTAACGAGGGATTACTTCTACTACCTACAACCATCAAAAAGGGGCTTGGGGAAGAGTAGAACAAAATAATATCTATGAGGATTATAGGAACATTTATGTTTCTAATTCAGTGTTGCAAGTATCAGTTGCCTGCACGTGTAAATTGACAGCCTTTCTTTTTCCCAGTTTGATTTAGTTTTGCATCAAGATTACATTATATACTTTATAAAATCATATCTAAAGGGGGTTGAGGTAATCCGTAACATCCTTCGCATAAGTGCTTTTTGTTGAAAGCATTTGTTACTGCAAATTATGTCATTTGTTAATATTAAGGCAATGCTATATTTACAAGTCAGACTCATAACAGCGCCGTAACATGACATGATATACCTCAGTGTCACTTCAGGTAGCGCTCTCTCTCCAGAGAGATGACATTAAGTGCTGCAGCGGCATCCCAGCGGGCCGCTCGACAGAGACTGCCATGCATAATTGACCCGGGAACCCCTGAACCCCATCCCTTAGTCATCTCTCTCTCTCTCTCTCTCTCTCTCTCTCTCTCTCTCTCTCACACACACGCGCTAACATGCACAGTTTATGACTGCGACATGAAGGCTGAGAATTGAGCGATAAAAATGTAAGGTAAGGTGATGTATTTTGCAAAAACGTCAAATTACAACTCGACTGCCTTTTTTAATGCCTCCATGCAAGTGAATACTGTAAATACTGTAAATTTGATCAAGCAAATCAAATACTACCTTTCCTCTGCAAAGGTAAGTGATTTTTTTGGGGGCGTGGTTGAAGATGCTATGTGCCCAAGTATGCCATGCTTGACATGCGGAAACAGAAATAGACTCGCTGAGGTCCGTGCTTGACATTGGCAGGTAAACTGCAAGATCTACCCTCGCCAGCTTCTTTCTAAGAATCCTAGACAAGTAGAATGTTGTCTACTGAGTGTTTCCTGTCTTCGTACTGCTGCAACTCCAGCGCCTCGGGAGCAGCCATTTTGTTTCTCTCTTTTTTGTTTACATGCTGAGCGTGTCTACAAGAGAGCGAGAGGCTGTCCTTGGAGGGCTGACTGGACATGGGGAAAAAATAGCTCAAACTGACTTTCATCCTGACACAACATTTTTGCAGCACCTCAGTGTTTCGGCTCACAGAAACTTTACGGAGAAACAGAAAAGATTGTCACCAAAAGTAAGAAAACTGATTGATGCCACGTTACCGCATACTGTACAGTACCACTGACAAAGGAAAAAAAATACAAGTTCACAATATATTATTATTGCCAGTTGCTGGACTTATTTTCTGTTGATAGCTGACACTGCGGAAACAGAAATAGACTCGCTGGGGTCCGTGCTTGACATAGGCAGGTAAACTGCAAGATCTACCCTTGCGGATGATAGTTAGTAGTTAGTAGGCATGCAGAATTCATTTGCCTAATCATGTTTGCCATGCATCCAAAAATGGAACTGCTGCAGTTAGTAGCTGCCAAGCTCAACTGCAGCACTTTAAAAAAGTGGCCAGTGGTCAAGTTCTTTGCACAAGGGCACTTAAAACGCCCTTGTTTGCTCTTCACCTCGAGCATCAATAATGCCAGACCCCCAAATGCTGCTCTCCATGCGGTAAGAGTTACCAAAAAAAAAAAAAAAAAAGACGCTCATTCCTGAATAGTGTATCCATTATGTAAAAAGAAAAACACGAACTATCTTGATGCTGCCTGTGGGATGCAACAAAAGAATCAGTGACAAGTCACATTTATTATTAATAATGTACTTACATTGCACATCTAAAGCGATATAATAGCAGAATCAAAACTGCTTTACAGCAATAGATTGGACTGGCCGCCGATGAAACGCAGACCTCTGCTAAGATATGAAAGCAGTGAAATTGAAGAATATCGTTTCCTATGTCTGCACCTTCATTCGGACTGTCATAAAAACTTTATGGGTTCTTTCTTACACCAGCCACCCAACTTTCATAAAAAGCCGCAGAATAGTTTTAAGTAAATCAGCTAACACCCAAACCAGCGATCGAAAATCAACTGACCTGGGAGGAGGTAGCAGTAAACATCCATCAGAAGCCTTTGTATTAGATTTCGTTCTGTTGTGCAAGTGTACCTAATGTTGTGGCTTTTTTTGATGGTACAACAAACATTCTCGCATCGGCACTGTTAGCATTTTTAAGGGTAATATCTTGTTTTTATCATATTCTTTTTTAAAAAATTAATTATTCATTTTTTAAGGCATATAATTTTCGCAATGATACTGTTTTTTTTTGGGGGGGGGAGCAATCTATCCACCCACAACAGGAAACAATATTGTATTGCATGTCATAAAATATTCACCAGCCTGCACCAAAAAGGCAATGCAGCTACACAGTCGGCTCCTATTGACCAGCATCCATCATCCCGCTGATACAGGCTGCATTTCAGCGGCAGTACAGTAAGCGTGTAACAGTCGCAGGGTGTTTCGGAGACGTGAACCCGCGATGATGATATCAGTGAGTCACCATTCATCTGGCGAGCAGCCCCCTTTTTCAATGTGCTCAATAGGCCCACACTCGTCCCATCATCCCTCCCACTGTCCTCTCTCTCTTGCTCTCCCTGCAGTTCAAACGGTGCAAGCTGCATATAGCGGTCATGACAACCACAGCGTCCTACGCCCTAACCCCCCCACACCTCCACCCCCCGGGGTTAGGGCGTCCTCTCCACAGCTTTAGTCTGTATGTGGCGTGAATAGGGAGCCATACGAACACGTTTCATGCTCTACAAAAGGCGATAGGCTGTTTTTACACTAGAGCCCCAGACCACATGAACCACTACAGTGTCAAACACTCAATTAGCCAGTGGCGACGTCTGCTTGCGCTCAATGGACAACGCAACCTCTCAGTTACAATCAATACAGTACAGGAGTTGGACTGAAAACGCTCTCACTGCAAAGGTAATATAATGAACTTTTATAAATGACCTAACCAATTTCTATTTGTTTTTATGTCAAATGTATCTATCCATCCATCCATCCATCCATCCATCCTGCAGGGGCGCACCCCGATCACCACCTACTGCGCACCCTATAGTGCAACAGTGGCCCACCGGTGACCCATAACTTATAGATGTGACGCACATGCAGCTGTTCTTTTTCTTCGTGCCGGACGCACCCCAACCCCAGAGCGTTAATTGACCCAACGTGGTGATTGACGGAAGACGCGTGGCGGTCTCACCGAAGCGTCGAGGGTGTCACGGCGCACACGCAGTCGGAGCTCATCCACCCACCCTTGCCCCTCCTTTCTGTTTATACGGGCTATCCCCCTCCCATCAACTTCACCATGGCGCACTTTACTATTGCACATCCGCCGCAATCACCTTGTCGGCACTCCGTTCTTCGTTTCGGAAAAAAAACAAAACGAAACGTTTAAATGATTGCGACGGATAGCTCGCAATTCACCATTTTGATGCGGCGTCCGTCTACCTGCTGCGGATAGCCATGTCGGCAACCGGCGGAATGATGCGTAGCCCACTAACAACATATGCACTCCTGAAATCATTTCTCGCATATTTGACAACCTTGCTGCTCGTCCCCTTCTCGCGTTTCAACGATGCGTCGCTATCCGAGGTGCTGAAAGAGCGAAAACGCCCACATCGCATCGACGCATTATTGCGCACCGCATCCATCCAACTCCCCGCGCGTTTGCGCTCGGGAAGTCACGCACTGTTCCTTCCTCACACGCTAAAATAAGACGAATTAGCCACAAATTGGTCTGAGAACCGCCGTCAATCGCTGCCGTTCATTCACAAGCGGATAACAACCAACCGCTATGAAAATGCGCAAATTGTGGCGAGAAGACGAGAGGAAATGGGAGCAGACTTACCCGAGCTTGTCGTCGGCCCGCAGTCAGCGCTGGAGGAAAGGCGTCCGCTTTTTTGGACCAGCAGCCTCCCTCCGTGCGTGTGCGTGTGTACGTGCGCGCGCGTGTGCGTGTGTATGTGTGTGTTCACGCTGTGACGGCGATGCTGCAAAGGCACTGCGCCGAGTCTTCCTCACTTCTTCAATGAGAGGAAGCAGTGCAGTTCGCGTCAAAGATGGCGGAGCCTCTGACGTCAGTAGCAGCGTTTAATAGAAAAAAAAGAGGAGGCGTTTTTTTTTTTTAATATACTTTTAGGGAATAATGATGCAGTGATAAGAAGGGAATGCAAATATTTGGTTGCCGTCCTAATCATATGAACTACTTCCTCTTACTACATGATGTTCGGCTTTCCCAATCAAGTTTCACATCCAATACCAAAGGTATAGAGCGCCTGGACAGCAAATAGTGTATTTGATTCATTGTAAAAGTTCACCACTGAAATAAAAATATTTCTTTAGTCCATATTGGGTACAATATTCCAGCTACCTGTCTGCCTTGCCTGCCAGCAATTTCGACTCTTCTGTGTATCATTTCTGGGGCTTCTTTGCACAGCCTGCAGCTGGGGTCTTGTTTGATGATCTTGTGTTTAGGGTCTCTTGTTGTCTTACCATGATACTGGACTCATGCTATCTTCCAGTCCAGCTTTCAATCCACTGGTGTGTTTTTTCGATGCTAACCACTTCAATTTGTTGGTGGTAGATGCCATGCAGGGTCTTGACTTTCCATGACAGCCCATCTGGCTCCTTCTCCTAACTGGCCTTCACTTACCTTAGGCATTACCAAAGCAAATCAAATCTTCTTGAGACATTCTTGGCGGCCTGCCGTTTCCTCCTGGATAGTGCCCATGATGCTCAGTAGTCCACGGCGCCCTTCTTTCAGCTTTGTGTATAGCCTCAGGATGCTTGTCTTGGGGTGGAACCCTCCATGCATTATAAGGAGACTTCTTGTCTGAATATCAGTGCCTTACATATCTTTGCACTGGCTAGTTGGAAGAAAAACAATGTCCAAGAATGAATAATAAAAGCGCGGAGAACTGCACTGGCGGATTTTTGCTCAGTTCATCAGCATGATATTGATCTTTAAATGTGGACTCAGCAGCGAGATGGTGTCCCGCTCTCCCCTTCTTCTCTCCAGTGCCTGTCGCTGCTTGGCACCATAACAAATGTGTCTTCAATTGCGTTGAGGTGAGGCCGTCTTCTAAATTAATGCTTATGATAACACAGCATGTAAAATCAATTGGAACTGGGGAGCCAGGAGAGAAGGGAAGAGAGGACGACGGGTTGGGCTCTGTGTGAGCATGTCTGAGTGTATATGTGCACCGAGGTGTGCGCGTGTGTGAGAGAGAGAGAGGTGTCAGGGGGAAGTGTGAGGATGGGCCTGAGCGGTGCTTCGGCTCGTGGTCAAAGAGCCAAACGCGAGCAAGCGGCGGAGAAGCTTAGCGGCGGCATTATCAAGCCTGCAGCAAATGCGGTTCTCTCTCTCTCTCTCTCTCCCTCTCCCCCCCTTGCTTCTTGCTGACTTACTGTATTTCACTCTTAATTAGACTTCACGGGGAAGGTGGGATGCCGCAGGAGAACAGAATAGGGGTGCGCTGTGAAAGAGTGACTGAGCAAAAATAAGAAAGAGCTGTTTTATCACAATAAGTATGGCCTCACTGCAATTTTTTTTTATTGTCTGATAAGGTCGTACTCAATACTGTTACACTATTGACTAAACTCCACGAATGATGATTAGTGGAGTTTAGTTGGGGATCTTTTCTGCCTCTTCTTCTTACTCTTCATTGTATTGCATTTGTCTCTAATGTAGCCGAGTGCTGCCCCACATGTTGCTGCACAACGTGCTACCGCACTCACGCCGTGCACCTCTAAAATTGGACTTGCTTGCATGCTGTTAAAATCCCATTAAAAAAAAAAAAAAACTAAAAAAAAAAAAAGTCGCTTCCAAATCTGAGCTACGCGGAGGGGCCTGAACAATGAACCGCAATGCACTTTACATGTCGTTATTTAAGAGTAATGACCACTTAGAACTAACAAAGCGGTTAAGTCGCAGGGATAAATCCATGCTGGTTATTCACCAAAGAGTCGGTCACTCTGCTTCTCGAAAAATGCGGAGCAGGATTTCTAAGGTGTGTACAATACCGTTCAAAACTCATTCTTAAACCGACCATCCATCCATCCATCCAAGGTTAGTAGAAAGTATGGCCACAAAGGACGCCAAAAACACACACATAGAGGCTTAAAAACGAGCACATGGATGCAAAAAGAAAAGAGAATGGAGAGATGGAGCCAAGCTGCATGAGTTCATGTGGGGGAGAGTGCTGCAGAAGTAACAGCCTTGCTGTGACTCAGCACTAAAATCTGCCCCCCTCTCTCTCTCTCTCTCTCTCTCTCTAAATAGTAATTATTTGAATTTCATTAATTGTTGTGTGTTTTAGATGCTTGTAGGTGTCGTTTCTCTGCACCTTGATTTGCCCCGTGTGTGAAACGTGCTATATAAATAAAGCCGCTTTGCCTCAGCCGTGCATTTTGAGGTCTCCATTTTGCAGACAATGCGCGGTATGTTCTTTGTGTAATTTTAGTAAACTACTTATTTCTCTACTTGGCTTTAAATGTCTTAAATTCTGATGCCTTTAAATGTTGCGTTGTAACTCTGTGAAGCACGTTGAGTTACCTTGTGTGTGTGAAATGCACAAAATAAAACTTCCCTAGCCAAAAAATGAGAATGGATCGAGATGCATATTAATCTTTGTCATTGCACAAAAAGAAATGATTTTGTCAAAAAACACAATTAGAGCATAAATGAAGGTGTGCAAGCCAAAACGCTCTACAGTAGTTTCCCCACACCCACTAAAGCTGAGAACTGAGCTTGAGCAATAAAATATCGAAAAATCCCCGCGCCCAAACGCAATGTCCTCCTGTCACAATTGTTTACGTCACCGTCCGTCCATTCACCTGCAGGCCAATTGCGTTGTTTATTCTTCTCGGGCTGAAGTGGATGCCAATGATATTAACGAAGAAGAGCTTCGAGGAGCGCGGGGCCCACTGAGAATCTTTGAGCCGATAATTGCGGCATTAACGGCTCGAGATTGATAAGTGTGCGAACGACGCAGTGGCGTGCTAAGGCCGATTATTCCAGGCGGAACACTGATCCGCATCGACCCGCGGCGCTGCACCTCAAATTCCTCCTTTTGTCTCTCCTTCCCTTCCTTGTCTTTTCCAATTCCGCTCTCTTTGCTCACCTTGGCCGCAGCCTTTGTAAATAGGACAGAAAGGCCAGAGTGACTGCGTGTTCAACAACTGAGCCCGGCAGAGTCGTGAAGGGCTGAGCGGGCACGACGCAACGGCCGCTTTTGTCGGTTAGTGGCCGATGACCGGCTGCGAGCGACGTAACTCCGGTAACACGCAGGTAACGCCGAATGTAGTTCCACATGTAACAGCGAGGGGCCGGACGGGGGCAAAATGAAGAGAAGTTGCGGTGGTGCACTGGCCCAGAATCTAACATCCCTCCTGGCCAACGCGCATTACTGCTGACTGAACTCCAAATGTGCATACTCTCCAGCTCCCATATGTGCACACACGCGTGGATAAAATTGTTCATAAACATGTGTCTGTTTGAATGTTTGAGCAGCTGAGGGTTGCCTCCCGCATGACTAGAATAAAAGCGTCCTCCTAATTTTGTAAACATGAAGAAATTGAGTGGAGGTTATTTTCATGCCAGGAGCAACACAGTCCGATGCAATCTGTCCTGGGTTGCTGGTTGTTGACCAGTTAGATTCTTAATCATCGTCGAAATGTAAGAACGGCCTTCGTCGGAGCTGTCCATACTCAGTATACTCAGTACCCAAAAAACAGCTCCGATGTAGGTTGAAGCGACAGCCAAAACTGTCAGCTGGTTTTTATCTTCACCCCAAAAAAAGAGCATTGTCTGGGGGAAAAAAGAAACCTTAAACCGAATGTAACCGTAAGTAGACAAGAAGAACGTCGTACTGTAGTGCAAAGAAATGTTTGTTCTTGTTTGCTTCATCACGGCAAACTACAACCGCAATCATGACATAATGAAGCTTCTACCTCAAACCTTTTTTTTTTCTCCATTTTTTGTTGCCCATTCCCCCACCCTCTCCTCCTCTCTGACCCTTTCATCTCCTCCATCATGGATCACGCCCCAGGTTATGGATCGACGCTCCTGTCCTCCAACTCCCCTTCCCCACTGCTGCTCCCATTTTCATGTCTCCTGCCCCCCCCCCTCCTTTTGATATCATCATAATCTTCCCCCTTTGTCCCACTCCCTTGAATCAGCAGCCTTTTTCTCTTTCCACGATCCCTTGGTTTCATCAGATTGTACTTCCTCTTATGTATCGCATCGGCCTTCCCGCCTTTGTGTATGCTAGCGTCGCTCCGCGACGTGCATGTCAATGTTTCACCTCCGCAGATCGAAAGCTCGAGCGGCTCCCAGTGTATTACACCTGCCTGTTGCTATGGAAACTGGGGATCCTCCGTGCGTCACCTGTGCCCATGTTTGGTCTGGTTTCCGTCGATCCGCCTCGCGCCTACGCGTGCTCCCCGCTCGCCGCGCACACAGCCACTTTGTCTCATCCCCCCCCAACTACGAATGGTGAGTTAATGAGCGTTTCCATATGTGAACAGTCAAACGGCATCATTTGTGTCGCGCACACGCACGCATTTTCAGGAACATGAATCATCAGACTGACCTCATTCTGAACAAACCCGATTTGTAATGACCGTGTTTGACATGAGTTCATGTAAAACGCAAATCATGATACTGCTTGAATCAAACCCGCATTCCCTGTTTTGCTCTTTCACTGTCACGTAATAGAACCCCTGTCGAGATTCTGATTCGGGGTTTCTGTGAGACGAATTTCAAGGTTGCCGGGATCGCTTTGGTGCCAGTAGCCAGACAGCCCAGTCCTGAAGGTAAATCCAAATAAAGAGGGGGCGGGCGCCAGAAGGACACAGCGAGAGAGACATTTGGGTCTATCGGTGTCAGATTGTGAAAATCTACTGCAGTGCAACAACTGGCTGATCCTCAGTGGCCCCAGCCTAACACATCAATCCGGCGGCGTAGCAGCATAACGAAACGACGACGCTGCGGGCGATGCAGCAGCTTCCCCAGTTTGGAATAATCCACCAAGCGCTAGCCCATGACCTCCTGTGACTCCTACATCGTCCCTCATAGGCTGGGAATAAAACCTCGGCCGCCGTGGCTCTCCATTAGCCCGCAGCTGATCTGCGATCATATCAGGAACATGTGAACAAAACGGTCGCTCCAAAGACACCTCATCTATTAAAAATGAGGAAGCAATGCATTCTTAATTACGTTTGCAGCGATGATTTGTCAAACGTTACCTACGTAAATATTGGAGGTGAATACACGGAGACGAAATGTATTCAACCCAAAATGTCTGAAATCCCGTATTTACGAAGCGAGCGCGGCTGGCAGCTGTAATGTATCCCGTGAAATATTTATTGCATCCGTTTTCGGACGCAGGAATCGGTCTGCTCATCTAAGCCAAGAGCCGGCCGCCCGTGTTTACCACCCAGTGTTATTGGTCTCACTATGAAATTCAAATCGATATCCTCATAATAAAAGTCTCAGACCTGCAGCAAATTGCAATCTCTGGCATGGAAAGCTAAAGAAATCTATGAAGGTGCCAAGGCCGCTCTAATAAATGATGAATCACTGCGAAAAACAAACACACACACACACTCACACACGTCCACACACTCCTGCGTCACATTCAGTCAGTCAGGCCGCTGTGAAACACGACTCCCTCACGGATGGATGGCAAAGCGGGATCTATACAAGCCCGCCATTGTCACGCCAGACGGAGCGTTTCCGTACCTGACGCAACTGTGTTTTGAATGTAAGACACGATGACCACTTGGACAGACCGACGAGATCCGGTGCTAAGGCGATGTGGACATTTTGAAAGTCCTTTCAACACCCCATTAAGATCGTCAGGGCTTTGTTGATGATTTTTTTTTTGTGCTGAAGATCCACAGGTAGCCGATCATCTGCCTATCCTCATGAGCGTTGCAGCTGACTTTGGATGTTGGACTTTGTCTTTTTGAAAATACAGATTTTTTTTATGTTTTTTTTACTGCTGCCTCAAAAACCCCCAAACCCTGACGCGGAATGTCAGAATGTGAGACATGCTCACCTCTCGTATGGTGGACTAAAGGTGAGCGTGTCGCCACCCCGTTCAAGCGCAGTGTTCCGGATATCTTGGAAGTCGGACATTGGAAAATTATACATGGCACTTCAGTAGGAGTGCGATCAGTATATTACCAATATAATGCAACAAAACATACAAGTAGTGAACAGTATAACAAACACATGCAGAGTTTAATTGTGCACAAGATCCAGTGAGTGGTTTTGGGATGGAGTGCTGAGTAAGCGGCGCAGGGCGAGTGCTGGGAGACTGCAGTGCTTTTTAGCAGCAGCAACACACACACACACACACACACACACACACACACACACACACACACACACACACACACACACCGTGGTGGGCGCTCACACTGATACTCGGCACAAGGAGGGGAGGTGAAGACGAGAAGAGAGGAAGATGCGCTCTCATTTTTAACACAACATGAGCGCCCACTCGTCCAGATAAACCTCACAGTCACGTAATCTTTTCACCAAATGAGGCAGGCCTGCCTTTGGTGTTGACACAGGAAAGAACAGACATACATTGAGCGACACATGAGGATAGACGGACATGCAGACGTGCCTCTACACTGTTGAAACACACACACACCCACACACCCACACACACACACAGCACGACTGTGTAAGTCCAAGGCCACGCCCTGACAGACACACTGCGTCACAGGCAGCCACGGGTCCGGCGGTCTCACGCTGACCTGTGCGCTACAAAAGCCGTCACGCTCTCCATCCACCCACCCGCTTTCTCCATCCCCACCATTTCCTCTGAGTCACCCTCCGCTGCTTCGTCATCGCCCCCCCCCCCACACACACATCCATCTCCTCTCGTGCCCTCTTCCACTTCTTGTTGTTTCTCACCCACCAAATCTCCGTACCTGTCATCAATGATATTGTGAGGCTGCCTTTTTTTGAAAAAGCCAAAGGGGCTTGTATCACAAACCTCAAAGCCAACCAACCCCCATTCTCGATTCGATTATGTAACTGCGTCCCCGTGGACCTTGAGGACACTGCAATCTAATTTTATCTGGCGATAGTGATGACGGGAGCGTGTATGGATGCTGCGTTTAACAAAGAAACATCGCAGATTATCTCCGATGTTTTCCGATAGGGACACGGGCAACTCTGATGTCCCCAAAAACGTTGAGTCGCCCGCACTGCCACCGCTTCTGAGACATAAATCAAGTCACAAAGCAATATCCACAATGAAGATCATTTCATGCCTTGTATTTATATGCAAGCTCAAAGCTGTCAGCTGTGTTATTATTATGAATATTATTATTGTTGTTCTCCACCCATTTTCTAACCCGCTTCTCCTCACGAGGGCGGCGGGCATGCCGGAGCCTATCCCAGCCGTCTTCGGGCAGTCGGCGGGGGACACACTGAACCGGTTGCCAGCCAATCGCATTTTTTTGGAATGTGGAGAAAACCAGAGTACCCGGCAAAAACCCACGCAGGCTCGGGGAGAACATGCAAACTCCACACAGGGAGGCCTGAATCGAACCCAGCACTTCTGTACTGTGAGGCGGACGTGCTAACCAGTCAACCACCGTGCCGCCCCATTCCGTGTCAAGTGCGTGTAATTTGATTAAAGGCTTAAAGGTAAGATACGATTATTTATACTCGCATACCTTTGCTGTCTAGATTGATAACACACTTTGTTTCCCACGTCACATGAGCATGATGAATCATATTTTTCCACTTCCCAGAAATGTATTTGGAGAATATTTGCTCAGACACTGTCGCCCGCAGATGACCAATTCAGGAGTGCTGTCTGACTAGTCCCTAGAGTGCCCCCTACTGGCAAGGCTCGAGAGGTGTAAACTGATGAGAACACACAATCGGGATGACCTCTGAGCAAAACTTCAAAGGTCATTGAACGAGAACTCTACCAAATAGATTTGCAAACATTTTCTCTTTTATGCAATATGGATTTTGTACTTATTCTGGATAACATGGCCCCCTCGGCCGAGATGTTGGGGGGGGTGACGTGATTTGCTGATAAAAGTCTGTTTATTTTGTTCACTGACACATTTTGCTGAAGTGGATGTATTGCGTAACACACAGTTGGCACTGGACCAAGATGAAGGAAGAGATCAGTCAGGGAAAGGCAGGGGACAGAATGAGTTCCAAGAGCGGCAGATGGACAGTTATTTCTGTCACACAAATAGAGAAAAGAAAAATATTTCAAGTTTTGAACGCTGTGGCTCCAGACGTAAGGTTGAGGGCTGTTACTTGCGTACCTTTCCTTTCCCCTTTCCTTTGTTTTTTGGCTTGGGCATAGATTCAAACTTGTCTTTGACCAACTGATAGATCTCAGCGTCACCAAATGCAGTGGCGACGTCAAGGCAGGTTTGTTCTAAAAGGGAAAAAGAAGCAAATAAAAAAACTCTTTTCAACAGACATTTCCCTTTTAAAGGTTGTCAAATTCCATTCATCCAATATTTTCAGGCCAAATGTACCTTCAACCAGAAAAAAATTAAAAAAAAAATCATTAAATCATTATGACACGAGTTCTTGACCTTTGCGGGACTGTTACAATTTGGCATATACTGTATTAGTTTGAAGTTTAAATGTGAACCAAAGTTGTAAGTTTTGTTCTTGACCTTTGCGGGACTGTTACAATTTGGCAAATATTAGTTTGAAGTTTAAATGTGAACGAAAGTTATAAGTTTTGCCTTGTATTGAACTGAAGTGGCACTTTTAACATTTCATGCACAATAATTAATGACTGGAACAGATGAATTATATTTCTGTCGTTTCTCATTGGACAAATGAGTTGAAAATATGAACCCAGTGAGGTCAAACTGGAACCGATTGTTTTCACTTTAGAGCGTCCATTGCTGTTGATTGTTGAATTTTATCGACGAGTTTCATCACGTTAAATTTGTAGAAGAATTGAAATGAACACGAAGGCAAAACTTTTCTCACTCTGTTGATGAGGACGATTTCCGCCGTGTGAGTCATACCTTTCTTGTTCTCCATCAAGACATTGGCGCCGGCCGTAAAGAAGAACTCAACGCAGGAGAGGTGAGTGCTCTGGATGGCCACCATGACGGGCGTGGTCCCAGTGATGGTCTGAGCGTCAATGTCGGCTCCAGCCTCCAGCAGAAGTTCCAATATTTCCACTTTGCCGGCTTGAGCGGCGTGGTGAAGCGGCGTCCAGCAGAATTGGTCACAGATATCCACCATCGCCCTGTTGGTAAGACGTGCCGCGATTTCGTTAGCGCACATTCGAAAATGGTCATTCGTGTTTCCGTGACATGATGGCTCGCCCGTGGCACTCTGGAGTTTGACAGCTAAGAGTTTTTCCTCCCCTTGCCCCCGCAAAAAAAATAATAATAATAATAATTGTTCAAGCTATTTTAGGTTTGGTCACACGCTGCCCACTTGCTAACGATGAAAGCAGTTTGCGCGATGCGTGAGGACGGATGTTCCTCACCTCTTTTCGACGAGGTACTTGGCCACCTCGTAGTTTCCGATGGAGCAGGCCACCATCAGCGGAGTCTTGTAATACGGATCTTGAACGTCCACGGGAATCCTTTGACTAAAAGCCAGTTCCAGAGCCTCGATATCGCCATTCTTCACCAGGTAGTTGATGTTGATGTAGATCTTATCTGGCTTCTCCGTGTACCACGCGGTGTCATCGACGACGGGGTGTTCTGACGGAGGTTCTTGGTCCAGTTGTCGGATGTCTGCGGTATTGTAGGTTTCCATCATGTATTCCGGCGGGCCTCCGTCCTCTCGCCGCGGCTTGAACTCCGGTGGCAGGGTACAAATAGGCATCGGGAGGACAAATTTTGGCTTCTTCTTCCCCTTCCCTCCTTTGCCCCCCTTTTTCTTCTTGGGGACGTAGGAGAGGAGGAGGTATGGTTTCTTGATGTAGCTGGCCCCTTTGATGAAGTCATTAATGTTTACGGTTGGATCTCTTCCAATCCCGTGGAACGAGACGACCAACTCGATCTGTTCTTGGGTGACCGGAGCACCTAATGTTGTTAAAACAGAGACAAATTTTTCCGAGGAGGCCTTTTCGCTATCAAAGGCTTGCAGCAGATCGCGCTCGTATTCGTTGGACCAGTCGTGGAGGGTCAGAGCCCACAAGTCCGTCAGGACCGTCTCATCGGTGTTCTCTTTGCCCCTCTGCTGCTCCGCTTTCCTCAGCTCCTTCATAGCCGCTTTGTGACCGGCATCTTTGGCAATCTGACGTGGAAGAAAACCGTCCAAGTTCTTCACTTTGGCGTTGCAACCTGAACGGAAAGCACAGCATGATGGGACTTTTCCTGTAAGTGGGTTGATCGTTATTGTGGAAGACCAACGGCGGGAGGGCTGAACAATTCATCTGATTCATATCAATATAGAATGTTATTAAAAATTTTTTTTTTTTAAATTAGGTCAGATGGTGGACTGCGTCCTGTATATATCGTGTGGGTGCAATACACACATATATCTCTATAAAATATGTGTATGTGATGTGTTGTCACAGACCCCCTTCCTTCTGTCAATTTATTATTGCTCGCTCTCTTATTTTGGCGAGTCCACTTCCGGGGACCTTCTGTTTGTCTCTTGCTTTGAATTATCAGGCTGGGCTTGGTGTTCCCACACCTGCATTTGATCAGTAATCACTTCCCGTGTATAAGACCTGCGCTGATGTGCTAGCGGGTGCCAGATGATTTATGGAGCAGTTTTCAACTTGGCTGCAGAACATTTTGATTTTGATTGTATCTCTGCCAGTGCCGCCCGACCCAGCTTGGTTCCACCTTCCCTCAACAAACTACTCGATTGGACACTTATCCATCGTGCCATTCCTTCATCTTGTCGTCAGTTCTCCGTCACTCAGCCGGCCGGAGCTTCACCTTCTTGTTTGCGAGCCGACTCATCGAACACTCAATGTAATTCAACCCTCCAATTAAACCTCTGCCAACTGCCTCTCATTCGCTTTTGGGTCCACTGCTGCCTTTACTTTGGTTATCTATCGATCTAGAAAGTGGCATGTCGGCCTGACAGCGCAGAGGTGCGCATTCGCTTCCGGCTCCGTGTGGAGTTTGCATGTTATGATTGGCCCGCTGTACGAATAGTTGCGTCTACACCTGGGACGATATTGTGAAAAGAAGTATCAAACGTGTGACCGATGTCTCGATACCTCTCTGAGCCAGAAACTTGCAGCAGTTGATGTCTCCCGTTGCGGCGGCAAAGTGGAGGGCCGTGCACTCGTCCACATTAATGACACTCATATCTGCTGAGAACGCAGACAGCAGCACGATCACCTGGATGACGCAAAATGCCCCATAAAGAGCAAAGGGCAGAGTTAGCAACAAAAAAAAACATTCTTCTGTGATTATTTGCGTTAGCCCAACACATCTTCCCAAAGAGAAGTGGAAATGGAATTTCACCTCAAAAAAGCCTCCCATGGCAGCATAGTGCACCACTGACATGCGCTTCTGGTCCAGGGCGTTGGGGTTTCCCCCTCTTTTTAGAATGTCTCGGACAAGATCCAGGGAACCAGCTTTGGCGGCCTCCATCAATGCCGTCACGCCTGTTTTCTACAGACAGGACACTATTAATGGCAATGTCATCGATCCCGCCTCAAGTTTATCGCGCGGATTTTTAAGCAAGTCTTTTTGGGTGCTTGTGCAGTACACAGCCATGTCTGAATTGAGTTACAACACCTTCTGTGATGAAAGAAATTTTCTGATTTCACTTCATGAAATGGGTGCCTTGGCTCAATAAAGGTTGGCAAACACTGGTTTCAAAGTTGACATTTTTTTGAAACTTTTTTTAAGCTCTTCGATGGTGTTTTTCATTATGTTAGCATTAAGCTCACAGACTTTTGTTACATTAGATGGTTTGTTTGAACAGACTTGTGTTAAACTAGGACTACAATGTTTAATTTCACTTTTTTTGTGTGTCCATTATCATAAATGGAAGTGACAAACAGGTGCTGATGAAGACATGGGGGGGAAAAAGTGTTTTACTGTCATACTTTGAAGTGTATTTTAACTGAGTGCGTTGAGAGCAGGTGGGAATGGCAAACGATTACAACTTTTTTTTCTGTCTTGTTTTTCAGGTCTCATGGGATGGGCGTATTATTATTCCCCCAAGCTCAACGGGAGTACATGGAACCATCAACAATTAAAGGTGAGCACACGAAACATTTGGCAAATTGAAATGTGAACCTGATCTGTTGCATTGGGGTCGGCCCCTTTCGCCAGCATCATGTGACACATGGGAGCGCAGTCTTTGGCGTGTTGACACATCAGCTGAAAGACATGAGTCCCCTGCAAGGACACATTGTTGACGTCTGCCCGGTACTCCAGCGCCGTCTGCAGGCAACGCGTGTGCCGCCTCGTCGGGTAGATGCAGTAGAACAGAACTCCTAAAGCGTTGGGAGAAAGATGAACGGGTTCAGCAATTGCATTTTCTGCCTCGGCCGGTCGGGTCGCTCGTGACCATATTCGATGTCTTATTCATTCAACCATCATGTTAGCCCTTTGAATGCTCAAATAACAAAACAGTTTTGTCATTCAGACTCTGCAAGGTGAATTTGGGCGGGGCCTTTGCTAAAACGACGCCCACTGATGAGCTTGGTTGTCAGGCATGAGTCGGCCTTCCCCCAAAATACGAGAACTTGAGTGCCTTTGTTCGCATGAGGCGGAAATGCTAACCTCTACCAACTGTGCTGTGATACAAATTATTGATTGATTGATTGATTGATTTCACAGTTGTAATTCACTTTTTTTGTGGTTTTCATCACAGCTGAGAATGACAGCAGCATGATGAATGCAGTCCGCTCACCTTCACCTTTTCCACTTCGCTCACCGCGATGCTTCGATCATGCATCTTCAAACCGTGAGTACTTGAATTTTATTTGCGCTCTCTGACTGTCTATTATGTTGTACAGAAGACAACGGTTTCATGATGATGAGTAAAAATTAGGGATGGCGAGTTCCAATACCAGGTATTGTACTGGGCCAATACCGGCCTCATTTGAAGTATCGGGTACTCGCGGAGGGTGTCGATACCAGTTTTACTGTCCTATTGCAACCAACTCTCGAGCGAACAGACAGTGAAAGCTACAATACAAGGCGGCATTACGAGTGGACTGGACTCTATTTATTTTTCCGTTTAAATCGAGGTTCCGCCATTGACACGACTCACCTTGACCTTCATTGTCTTGGATGCTCATGTCAGCGTCGTGGTCTGCCAACATTTTCACAATGCCGTCATTACCCAGTTCAGTCGCCAACATGACCGGCGTGTGGCCCCTTTTATTCTGGATGTCAGGGTGGGCTCTCAGTGAGAGAAGGAACCTGGTCAGGTCTGAGGAAATGTTTGAGATACAAGTCATTGATTGATTACAATGGGCGGTGGGATTTAGTTGGGATAAAAATCAATTTGTACTGCTCTAAAATAAATTGGGATGGTGTGACGTGACAGAACAAGGAGGAAGTTGTTCACCCTGATTGTTGGCCGCAACTGCCATGTGAAGTGCCCCCTTTCCATTCTGTGGCTCTGTGAAATTAATGAGGTTTTCTACCCCGAGGTTGACCATTTCCTCAATCTGTGCCTCATCGTTTTCATGGATGTACTGCAGCAAACGGTAGATCTGCAGCACCTGCAGGCGGTTGTCCACCTCCCTTCCAGTCATGCTTGCGATGAACACAGGCGACCGGAAATGACGAGAGGCTCAAAACCTGACGGCGAGGTGCCTAGTTGAAAAACAATGAGCTGTTACCAAGTCATCATCTTCAAACTAAGGAGACAAAGATATTGTGCTGCATTGTTGGGGTTCTTTAGGTTCCGCTTAGTGTGTATTAAGCAGGGTACACATGTGCCGACAAATAGGCCGCCTGTAATCGACATTGGTGAAGGGCAGTTGACAAAGACTACTACAATAACTACTACTACAATGACTAGTATTTCTTTGTACAGTCCAGCAGTTTGGATGCCCTGTGGCACAATGGTGCCTCTAACAGGGCAGTCATGGAACTACAACAGACATCTAGTTTGGGGGCGATTTGTTAGGTTAGTGGAAATACAGTATAATTTTTTTTTTTCCCAAAAGTTGGGTATTAGTACCACTAAGGCACCTGTAGTGCTACACAAAATAATAAAATGTTCAAGCTGGGCATACTTATCGTGGCATAAACTTTTTTTTTCAATCTGGTAAAGTTTACTCTTAAATACACGTACACGTTTCCATTAAATATTTTACTACTGTTGGTTTTTAAACCTTTACCCAGGTACAATTTTTGGGGATTATAATAGCAAATATACTTTTAAGAATAAAACTCATCCCTCCTTTTTGATTGACGCCGGCTACTCTATATGTTAGCCGTTACAGTTGTTGTTTCTTTATTTTTATTGATTTCTTTATTTTGGGTGGTACTTGGTTTTTAAAAAAAAGTTTGAGAACTACTGCAATAGGCTGTGTGTGTTCCCAAGAAGAGTGTCAACCCGACAAAATTCATCTTCGTGTGGGGTCTCTCATTTTAATCATTTATGCGCATACCCTGCTTTTGTGCGATGTGATCATGTCTCAGTAAAACAGCTGTGCAAATGTTGTATTTCACCATAATATAGTCAACATGAAAATGTATGCCTGATTTCTCTGCTGCTGTTAAGCATGCACAATAGAGGCTCAGTTCATATCAACGCATTCCACACATCTACTGTATAGAGCAGAACTCAACCTCGACCAGCTGAAGTGGCACTGATCCACTTGTATAGAAGTGAAAAGGTCATTTCATCTTATTTTGCTGCATAATGAGTGTATTTCATTGTGTTGGGACGGGGACCAACTGATGGACGGATAGAATTAACGCTTGAATGCAAATGTTTGCCGGCTGAACAGACATTTCTGCACAGCTGTTGTACGGAGACTAAGACGCAAGGCCATGATACATTAGAAGGTGACGTCAGTATTCGGAACCTCTATGACGCAAATGTATTGAGCTGTAATTAACAGCGACGCACGTCACCACCACTTCGAGACGAATAAAATCCAGAGCGGCACTTTACCGTAAATACTAATTAACCACCCGTCCCAAATGCTTGTCTGCTTGAGGCACGTGTATGTCTTCAAATCAATAAATAAACAAATAAATATATTCTTGACGTGCAATTTTAACAATAAGAAAAGGTAAGCTTCAGTCACGACTGCACTGACCTGTACTACGAACGCGCTCGTCCACTGAGAACAATTGCCCGCTGTCGGCATTCAGACATTTGCTCCAAGACCTCCGCTTCTGTAGCCATCATGAACATGTCGTCTTCCATAATAACAAGCGGGCGGCGATCCTTATAATTCAAACCGTCGTCTCTTTTGTTTCCACGGGCTGGGAGGCGTAACTCGGCTCCATGGCAACGGAACGCGCTCAATCCCAGCAGTGCAATGTGGGACATACTTTCGGGTGGTGGTCAAATGGCCATTTTACTTTAGAGGAAAAAAAAACACTCATTTTATGTATTTAGGCACTTGTGTAAAAAATTACATTGGTAAAACGAAAAGTTTTGGCTCAACTCTTGTATTAAAGTCAAAAGTAAATATGGCCATGATCAATTTACCTGCTCAAGCTGTGACTTGTTTCCACCACATTGATGGCTGTACGAAGCTGCCATTTATTCTTGAAAGCGTCAAGCAAAGCACCCGTTTACCTCAATGCAACACATTGTTCCGAAGGGACTCAACCGATCACTATTCAGTAACATACCGAGTATGTAGATTGATTCACTTCGGCCAAGATTTAACTGTACTTCCGCCCTCGGCCACAAGAGGGCAGTGTAGCGCAGAACATAAAACCTTCGTAACTCGCTGCAGCGACACCTCGGTAGGACAAACCTAAAGTCATGACAACATTCAATTTTACTTTTGTGGCCCTCCAGGGCCATAATAAAAAGGAAACGAAAAAGTGCAAATGACTGTCAAGAGCAGTAAAATATTTCATAGGTCATCTGTTACTTTTGCACGCGTTACCTAAAAAAAGGTAGGAATGGTAATTATACAATAAAAGTGACAGTCCAAATAAACGGACACTGCCATAGCCCCTGGTTGAAGTGTGTGTGTTGTATTTGGCACACATGATAAAACATACAAAAACACAGGACCTTCCAAGGTGAATTGGTAGCGTGTAAAAATATTACATGATTTTAAAATATTTACAATCCTTCAAGAGTGTACAATTCTTTAAAAAATAAATCGGAAACCCCATTCTCAACAATGAATGACAAGAAGATTTTCTATAAAGGGAAAATAGGATTTAGTAATAGAATAATACATTGATTGAAATGAATGGTTGTACTGCTCATACAATAGCTTACTCAGAATGGCAACTTATTCATGCAAAAAAAAAAAAAAAAAAAAAAAAAAAGTGATGTTACACCAACTCGAGATGGTCCTCAATAGAACAGCGAAAACAATTCCCATCTTTGCCCCTGTCTGCCCTGCTCTTTCCTCTGTCTCATCCTGTGGTCTCCAGCACATGAACTGTGGACGACTTCACTTTTGCTTTTCCTGCAAAGAATCGTGATTCAAACTGTGTCACACTCCCACTTATTTCCCTCTGCATATTTCTCGGACATTTGGCTTCCTGCACCATGCTTCTCGGAATCTACTTGTGGTCATATCAAAGTTGGCAGCACTAAACAATAGCGATCATGAAAGAAAAATGTCTGAACATGGCAAGAACCCGCATCTTTTATTGCTGGTGCTGGGGTGCTAAACACACAAACTCAGAACCTCCATGAGCTTTATCTTTTATCCCCCTTTCATTTCATTGAAACGGCAACTGAAGTCCACTATATCATAAACTAATATTCAAGTTTTGGCAAGGAATATGTACTTTTGTACTTGATATCAAGTCCTTAAAGCGGTGGAGCACAAATGATCGCTTTAAAAGCGTAAGCGTGTTTATTTACATATGATGACTAAAGTTCAGAATATGCAAGTCCCTGATAGAACGCTCTTTTGCTCTCAAAAGAGACCCTCTTGGATCATTTCAGTCTCCGTGACTGCCCGGTTGCTTCATCTTCAAACAAACAAGCCCCCCCCCCCCAAAAAAGAGTCCACGCTCTGAAAATGCCACCACTATCCAGCCAATCAGATGGTCTCATAGAGTAACATCCCACTGAAGATGGTCAAGGGTTCCGAGGAGTACGCCAGCTTGCCGCTGACCAGGTCGATACAGATGGTCTCCCCCGCCTCCATGGGCAGGATGATGTTAAAGACCGCCAGAGCTCCGGGGATGTGTTTGGCTTCCGCCATGGGCTTTTCCAAGCCTTCGGGCTGATATCCTGCCGAGTCAACTCGAGCCACACCGGTGTTGGATTTGGACAGCACCGCCTCGATCTTCACATTCTTATGGCCGGTCAGGATTCCACTGAAAAAGTACTTCCCTCTCACTGGAGCTGTGAAGTAACCTGCGGGACAAAGCACGAAACACAAAAGATAACACGTCATTGCTGCAACTTTCCTGACCTGGTGACTTATTTTGAGTTGTTGGACTGTTAGAACAAATCCCATTGCGTGTATGTAAATGAACCACGATGACTTCTGTTTTCTTTTGTGCAGTGTGACATAATGACAATAACTTGTGGTAGTATTGATACATGCGTGTTGGGAGCTCGGGGAAAAAAAAAAGATGCCAATTCGAACCTGTTCCGGGGTTGTAGACGCCATCCTCATTGACAAATACTTTGTTGAATGCAATGGTCCCGACGCCCCTCATTGGCCTGGTGAGCGCGGCCGAGAACGAAAGTCGTGGCACGTGGGCGTCGGACCCCGCGAGACCTGATGGCGGGGGCAGAGAGAGTTTAAACATGAAACGGGAACGCTCAAGCTGTCATGTGATGTTTAGTTAGTCGGCACGAACCCTGTTCGCCTCGCAGACCTGCAAAATGAGATGAAAGATAAAAAAAGTGAGTCACCATGTCAGACTCCTCTTAAGACAAACAATTGAACTTGCTCATCAGTTCAACAAAGGCTGATCATTTCGTTCTCTACCTGGGGGTCCGGCTGGACCTTGTTTGCCCGGTTCACCCTGTGGTCCCGCCTTTCCTTGGGGTCCCATAATTCCCTGCGGTCCAGACTGCCCTCGCTCACCTTTGGGGCCCGGTAGACCCGGTGGACCTACAGCAGAGGAACATTTGGGCTGGATTCACGCAACCTGGTTCAAGTGACACAGTTCAGTTTAGCCCGGCCGATATGCTGCCGAGTCAACTTGAGCCTTTGGCTTTTCAGTTTGACTGTTTTTGAGCTTTCTAGTGTCTTTGTTGTTAATGTATTGTTTGCTGTTGCATGATTATTTTTTTTTGCTCCATGTACAGTACTCTGTATGCAGCGTCGGTAGTTTTAAAGTGCTCGAGAAAGATCGTTGAGTTGAGTCACACTCCCTTACGAATAAGTCACGGTGACAACAAAGCGGCCGTGGCTGACGTTACAGTTGTAGTGCTGGCTTAGTATTCCTTGCGCTGCTATTTTTATTTTTTTGTCAGCTGGATATGTTTGCCAGGCCCTTATCACAAATATGCGCTTTTACAATCGCATAACTTTTATGAATAGCCTGTTAGTGACAGGGCGCCCCTTTGGTGAGAGACTCAAGTGGAGTCGGGATTAGGAAAGTGAGGCAACATTCAAATCTTGCTCAAAGTTGTCAGAATACAAACTCCCCCCTGGAAGTGAAAGAAGACAAACCCTCTTCTGAGCTTCTTTACTGATAAGCGAAGTGTCAAGGGAGATTCCTGAAACTTCTGCTGGACGCGAAGAAAGCCGTGAGCTTTAACCTGATGTGTATTTCGCCCAGATGTTTACCGAAACTCCTTTTTTCCACACACTGCAGACTTTATAGGCTCTTAAGTAAAACGCTTGACAGGCCGGATTCTTTCTTTGGTCTATTTTTTACCCTCTCCGACTGCCTCCCATTAAGCAGGCTTTATATCTTGTCCAAAAGTCAGATCCCATGCCCTGCCTCGTCGGAGGCTTACCCATGAAATCCTGTCGTATGAAATCATGGAACTCCTTCGCCAAGTCTAGCAGAGATGAGTTCAGTCTGTGTATTCCGGAGTGGACTTTCTCAAGCTGGACGTTGTGAATATTATCGATAAGATGCCCTTGAGATGCGACTGTTTCATTGAGCTCATTGACGCAGCTCCACAGCCCGGTCACATGCTTGTCCAGGCCCTCCTTGATCCTCCGCAAACTGTCGGAAAAAGAGTCGAAGCGTCCGCACAGTCCTTCGACCTTGTCGAGACGACGTTCGAGGCCGTCGCTCGCCCGCCGACACTCGCCGATTTCCGTCACGTGGTTACTCCTGATCACTTCCATGTCTTTGCCGAGGCTGGCGAATCGAGCGGCTGAGTCATCGACATGCTCGGCCAGATCATCCTTCAAATTGTCCACCTTTAACAGAGAACAGACGCGCTTAAGTGTGTGGGTTCTGGATAATACGTGGTCTATTTTTCTACGGTTCCAGAGAGACACATCTCCGAGCCAAAACAACTGTTGCATTCCAAAAAGATTTTCGTCTATCACTCGAATGAAACAACACATAAAACATCCTTGCGGCAATGACACCGTTGCCATAAATGGTCGCCGAGTGTTCCATTCTCAAAGGCCATTTAAAGTGGAGTAAAACAGTGGTTCGGCAGGGGATGATTTCGGTCTTCAAAGTACAAATTTTGACCCAGTGACTTTCTCACATCCTGAGCCATGCCCCCCGTCAGGCCATCAAATTCCGTCCAAACTTTAATAAGACGCAGATTGCGCTTGCTTTGCTTATTATTAGGTCAGTTGGAGTAGAGTTTATATGTGTATGGATTTAAATTCATCCTGCTTTTTGTCCACTTTCCAATACTGTATTCTTAATGAACAAAACATGCCCGCGTTAAAGCATCCGGTCTTAAAATAAGAAGTGCCCGATCATTTTGGCGTGCAGACGTTTGTACAAGCACTGCACGCAGCTTGAAATAGCAGCTTTGCTAGTGCTAACAAAACAAAGCTTTTCGTTTCCAACTTTCAGGGCTGTCCTCAATTTACGGCCGCGTTCCCTTCCGAGACTAAGCATTGGCGTAAACATGAACTTAGACGAACATGATTGTACAGTAGTTCAAAGGTTCCAATGGCACCAGATCGGTAAGGCCTGGACCACGATAGTCCACAAACTGCAACATGGCATCCATCTGTTGGAGAGTCGCCAGTGTGTGCTGCCTGATTCCTGTCAAGGCACCCACACACTTGCGAGTGCGGTTTCACTCCGACTGCTTTCCTGGCATGTCTGCGTGTCTACGACCCGGTTCCCTGTGTGGCGTGCAATACAAATATACCGAGGAGTTTCATTTCCTTTGGGAGGATTGTGATGAGTATCGTCAATTCAGGATAACAATTACGGTAATAATGTACCGCTGGTTGCTGGTTGCTCTCA